GGGTTATTTCAACCTGCGCCCCCCCCTCGCACACAGCACAAAGTCAGCAGCAGCACTCAGCACTCAGCACACACCGCAAGCACAGCAGACCATCCTCTACCCACACAGCAGACCAACACAAAGACCGTGTTTTTGTTTTGGTCTCATGTAGCAAAAGACGCAGAGAGCTGCGGGACGGCGGGAACGGTGGGAACAACAGTTTTTTATTTTCTATTTCGACCGGGGTACGTGGCTAGCTCCATGTACGCCTCCGCGTTGTAAATTGTTTGTCTTGTCTTCGATGTTTCTTTTTTTTTTTGTCCACGTGCGTTTGCGTTGTGGGATAGATGGGAGGGAGCCTTGAGCACCAGAAAATGAGAATATGTGTGCCTTTTTTATTTTCGTATTTTGTCATCCCTGGATATATAAAATTAAAATTAATATGTACGTATGTGTATGCATCCAAGCTGCTTGGCCGAGAATTACACAATGAATTCATGACAACCTTGCATTCAACATTGCAACTGCATTTTAACGTGGTAAAGTAGAAAGCTGAAACGATAGACAGGCTGCAGCAGCAGTGACAGCAGCACACAGCAGTATAACCCTCTTTCTACAGCGTACAGCGAGCTGCTTCCAAACGAAATGCGTTGAATACCACCAGAGGGTGTTATAGGCTATATATACGTTGAATACCACCCCGGGGATGGGACGTTGTCGTCCCCGTTATGAGCGGTTATAACCGGTACGTACCCTCGAAGGCTCATTTGCGGTTATTTCCGGTAGGTACCCTGCTCAAACGCGGTTATGGACATCACTGCATATATATGCACATCTAGATGTAGCTTCGCACAAAAAGGAATTGGGCTCGGTTTCACGGAATTCGGCCTCTCCGCCATCCCACCCGAGACCGAAACTTTCAATCTTCAGTTCTCTCTCACAGGAGCACCCGCCCGCCCGGTCCCCGGCGATAAAAGCGTACGTTCCCCTATACATAAAATCGCCGGTGGCGGTGGGTATGTCACGGAATTCGGCCTCTCCGCCATTCCGTCCGAGACCGAAACTTTCAACCTTCAGTTCTCTCTCACAGGATAACCCGCCCGCCCGGTCCCCGGCGATACAAGCGTACGTTCCCCAATGCATAAAATCGCCGGTGGCGGTGGGTATGCAAGTAAAAATATCATGGCCTTCTTTGTGGATGGTGACACGCGAAACGCGACCTCGCTCGTTGCCTTGTTTGTGCCACCACGGCTCCCTCCCGTAGGCCAAAAAGCAAGGGCTGCGTGTGGTACGTACGGGATGTATATATTTAGTTGCAACACGGGGACGGGTCCTGCGGGAAAGACTAAGCAACGAACAGGCGGTCAAGCTTCCTTCGTGAACACGCGCCTGAAACTTAGAGGATATCTAGACTACATGCATATGCTACGACAAAGACACTATTAACTATTAATATGTTCCTGTTCTCCGAAAGGGAAATTGCACATTTTTGAATTGGATTTTCGGTGCGCATTTTAGCGTGAAGGCCGCTAATTTAGATTCGTGCTCTGAATTGCAATTATTGTTCGGTGTGGGAACATATTTATATTTCCCTTCATAGAGACTACGATCCGTTGCCGATGCACACACACCACGTGCCACCATCACCGCTGCACACGGCTACACTTACACACACAAATGGTTCCGTTGTGTGTGTGTGCAGAGGCAACGCATCATCACTCGGCGGCAAAAACCTCGAAAAAAGAAACACCCCAGCAGGCACGCACGCACAGAAAATCTTCGGCAAAACGGCTGCGCCGACGTATTTGCACCGGGCAGACCAGTCGGGCATTTTGCTACTGCAGCCGATGAAGACGGCAAGGAGTGGAATGATTATGATTCTCCCGCCAATCTGGACCGCCGCCACTCCGTCGTATGGATACTAAACTATGGGTGATGCTGCTGCTTATGAATTCGTGCCCGCTCTCTCGATTCTTTGTGAACTTCAAGTGCGCCTCATTGAAGGCACATATGGATAGCAGCAACGAAAAGATCTCGTCCTTCCTAGAAACACCGCTGAAACACCGCCGCCGCTGCTGCTGCTGCTGCGTTTCGCTCGGGTCCGAGAGGGGTTCTCCGAGAAAGGGCATGCAAGAAGGGCGCGTGCTGAAACTTCGAGCGGGTGTTCGTCTACTATTATACTGCTGTATGCATACAAAGAACAACGGGCTCATCTACCGGTTTTGCTGGTTGTGGTTGGAAAGGAGACGGGGGGGGGAAGATGGAAGAAGAGGAGGATGACAAGACGGGGTGGTTCAAAACCATGGAGTAGCACAAAAAAAGAGACTCCATCGTGCTAGGCTAGGAAAGAGAACGCGTCGCCGCCCATGAGCCCGAACAAGCTGGTGACACCTCCGCCGAGGAGGACTCGCCCCACAGCAAACTAGTCTCATCTGTATGTATGTAATCTGACGTCACCGTCGCGAACCGGTCCCGCTTCTCAAAAGGAGCAAATAATAGTAGAGAGCAACCACAAAAACCACGGCGTAATGGGTCGGTCTGTTTCGCCGTGATCAGTCACGAACAAACGAATCGCGACGCGGTATAGGCATGCTATCCCTCGCTCGATGGCTTCACACAACACAACCGAGGGCATCGGAACTGCTTGCCAAGGCAGGTTGCCGGGAGCTGAGCTCGCCTGCTATGCATATACCCATGTGAACATCAACCGCCGGCACTCCGAGAGAGGAGACAACGTGGCAAGGCGTTATGTATCGGCGCCAGTTTTGAGTTGAAAAAGGCAAGTATCGCACTGCTGTGGGGGAGGGCATCAGCGTGTTCCCCTTCCAACAATCCTCCGGCTGTGTTAGGTACTACCGGTGCGCAAACTGCTCGCGATTGAGAGTAGGGAACGCCCCCCCCTTAGCCTCTCCACGACTACACACATAAAGTACCTACACCACACGGGGTGCGAAGGTACGGGTTCCGCAAGGTATCTCTACTACTGCTGTATCTATCAGTGGACCCACGCTGATTGCTTACGGGCGCACCTCGAGTCCGCGTAGGCCTCGCTCAGGTACACCGAGCCCATCGCATCTGCGCTCGCCGCCGCCGCCTCGTTGTGGGTCGCTATTGAGTGCCGCATAAAACTAACACACGTCAACCCCGCCGCTGCTGCTGCTGCTGAAGAAGAGGAACAACAAGCTGCTGCCGCCGCTTTCCCCGTATTAGGAGGAGCAGGAGGGCCGAGGGTCGTAGACAGCGCGGCAGCCCCGGCCAGAGCCGCTCCTGCCCCGCCGGCCGCCGTGCCCGCCATGCTTGCCGAGAGCTGATTCGCAGAGGGTGCAAGCATCAGGTCGTTTTTATGAAACACGACAGATTGTGAAAGGAGGGTGGGGGCTTGGATGTGTGTGTGTGTGTCTGCTGCGCTGAAAAATGGCAATATAGTGCCCAAGAACCGGCTGCTGGTCGCTCTCTCAGGTGTCTGGCCTCTGGTGGTACGCACATCGTAGAAAGACCGCATTCTAGCCGCATTCTGTACATGCGCAACTGCTGTTCGACGAACAGATTTTTTTTTCCAGCCGCCTCCTCCTTTCTGAACCCACAAATAAACGAAGGGTGCACCGCATGCATACCAGCGATGACAGGGGCACGGGCGTCATGAGTCCCCCCTGTCAGGTCGATGTGCTCCTCATGGCACACCCAGCTTAACTTGCATACGTATCTGAAACCTCGTCCATCGAATAGAGAAGTCTGCGCCATTTTTTTTTTTTTTCCTCTTTCTTTCCTACACAACCAACCGCAGGAGGGAGTCCAGGGTTCAATAGACAGGTCTGATCTCGAAGGGGTTGTCTTTCTGCGTTTACATTTATGGTTCCCAATACTTGACTGCTGTATGTAACGTTTAGCCTAAACTTGCAGAGACCTAACAAGCCACCCTACGTAGGATACCGCTGTAACATTACAGGTATTTTGTCTGAGGAGCTATGCGTATGACAAATATCACCCAAGTTCTTTCAAAATGGACAACGTCAACACAGACTTTTCATCCATCCCCAAGCCAGACTTCCCCGTCTCAACCTATATTGCGATTTGGGTAGTGGAGAGCGAGTCAGTGTCAACCAGAACTGACCAGGATGGTTGAGGTTTGTCGTGTACGAAACCACATGCATACATCGGGAGGCGATACTGGCCGCAATCTTGATGTAGCCAAGGGCTGGATGAAAGCAGATCCCCGCCAGAATGTTTCGGCTTAGACAATGCATGCGTGTAAAACCTGCCTGCTGTTTTTTGGTGCAAGTGTGAGGAACGTCGCCTCCGAATGTCTCATAGGTTGTGACGTATCAGATGACCTTCGGGCGTTGCCACAGATTAGAGTTAGTGGACATGTGGACACGCTAAACCGTCTCTTTACAACCCGGACTTCGAATCCTCGCTGAATGAAATGCCTCATTGCCTTTGGCTGCAAAAGCCATGATCATCCAAGTTTGCTACTTTGCGAGGGCTTATAAGATTGAAACCAGCAGTTCATGCGTACGCGGTGCGAATCACGCTCGAACCTTGCGGGAAAAACGGGCGGAACTAAGCATAGATAGATCCGGCTTGGTACATGACCATCTCCACCAGTTGGTGCGCAAAAATTATTTCTCGACCAATGATACAAAGTGCTGACACTTCTACTCTGCGCTACTATGCTAAGAACCAGCCCTCAACAGCAGTGTAGTTGTCCTACCGGCACGAACCCCCCCCGCGCTCAAAAAGAACCACACGAACGGTGTGTGCTGCAAAATTCTTCCTCAAAAGGGAACGGGCGCCCCTGCAGTAGTATCTAGTAGTCTCGACACCAGCAACAGCGCCAAAACAATCGTGTTAAGCGATGGCTGAGATGTGCCTCCGCACTTCGACGGCCACCTCCTCTGTTCCCAGCGCACAAGGACCACGCGAAAGGCATGGGCAACACGGAACGGGAAATGGGCAACGAGAGAAGCGGGGTTCCAGGAGGGTTAGATTGGGGAGAGAGAGAGGCGGTGTGAATGCTATCTCTGTGCGTTCTCTCTTTCTCGACCCTCCTCTTACGCCCGGAACACACACAGCACTTTCGTCGAGTCACGCAACAACGACCACACGACCACCTTAAATTCATTCGCGCCAGGAAACTGCGCGCTTCCATCGCCTGCGATTTGTCCACCGTCAATGCCTGGGCGCAACGTGTGTGATCGAGTCCATGCTGCCGTCAACTATAAGCACTACTTAGGTTCTGAGGTACCTATGGTTTGGTCGGAGTTAACTTCTCGCAGTTTCCCTCTGGCCTCGAACTCCTTGATGATGGGCATCGTAGATTCCCGGTACGTTACGAGTCGCTTTCGGATGGCCTCCTCGTTGTCGTCGATGCGCCCGCTGCTTCTGCCACGCTCCATGATGCGCTCCGTCATGATCTGTATTGTGTGAGTTTGAGCGATGGGTATTGGCAGGCAGCAGCCGTCGGCGGATCGCGGTTTTGGGTGACCAAGGCTAGCTAATCATTTCTGCCCGTGTCTCATGAAAGGCCGTCGGGGTCTGTGGCTACCTCCCTCGATCTCGGGGCTAGCCGTGGCGAGGAGCTGGCGGAGGGTAAGACTGCCGGCACCACGAGCTCCGCCTGACCCCAGAGCAAGACGCCTCCCCCCCCCCCCCAAGGCGAGAGAGGTCTTGCACATTTCGCCCGGCAAGCCTACACGGAACACGAGAGAGGGGAGCCGGAAAAAGGTCCTGCAGGCAACAACAACCCCCTACGTCGTACGTCGTTCATCTGCGGAGAACGCATATACACCGCCAGGAGTCAAGCACCCTACGTCTCGCGGCAAGTGTACGTACACAAGCGGACGTAAAGACGTTTTTTTCAACTCACGAGAGAGCGCGTCATGCCTTTCATCTCACTGGACAAACCACCACAGGCAGGTAGGTGGCTTCGGGGGCCATCACTCCCGGAGGTACCTACACACGGAGCCCCCCCCCCCCCTGCGGGACGCCAAGTCTCAACACACACCTCTTCCGGGCAGTCCAAAAAAAGTGCGAAGTCGACGACGACAGCCCCCCCCGCCGTCGACGCCTCCCAAGCGGCCAGGTTGTCCGGGTTGCGTGGGAAGCCATCGATCAGGAAGCGAGATTTCCCCGATTTTTCCATGGCCTTGCGGAGGAGGCCCACGGTTACCTCGGCGGGGACGATCTTGCCTTCCCTGAGAAACGACGGTTCCGTGCGTGTTTTTGTTTTGTAGTTAGCCGAGCCGTTTCGCGTGCGCGGTGTTTGACTTCGGGGTGGTGAGAGGCATGGAAGAATTGTTGTTGCCGTTTTCGTGAGCTTTCGTCCCGTCCATCTTTTCTGGACGCCAGCCTACCCATTTTCTTGGCATTGACGGGTGTTCGACGCACCAGTTTGGTGAGAAGGGCAAAATGGTTTTGTACGTTTTGGTGAACAAAGCTGTACACCAGCGCATGTTGTCACGCGGGCTACCCAGGCGCGGCGGTGCCATCACTTGGACTGGGCTCCGAAGCACGGGCACATTCAACCGCGAAAGGACGGAACCGTCCACCGGAGCAACCTTCCACCTGTCCTAGCTCGGAGTCTGTTCTCCTTGTCTGATATGTAACCATCCGCGTGTGCGCCGATGCATACCGTAGGTGACAATAAAATAGCACAACCCCGGGACCTACTGTCGAAGCTCGACTACTGCAAGGCGACCGTTGCAACACCGCCACCACCATTCTAGACTAACAAGTATCTCCCATGGATAAATCGAGCCTTGAAAATCGGGCCAGGGGTTGTGATATCTTCTGTCACCTACAGTATACATACATACATCCCGCTTGCCCATTTCTTTGTTTGTGGCTTCATGTGCATACTTCGTTCAGGTGCAAGCTGAGGTTGGTGTTCGGGTTCCGACAGAGCGGCCACAAGCGCCATTTTGACGTCGGCAACAAGAGGTTGGTGCGAGATTCACCTTGAAACGTAGCGCTCAACCTCCGAGCATAGAAATTAGACGTGCACGAGAGGAAGAGACCTGCTTAGGCCTCAGGTCCCTCCTGAACCGCACATATGCATATGTGTATCTCAAGGCACAGCCTGGATCTACTGCTGTAAATGTCTGCGGATGTTCTGGGGTGTCACTCGATGCAGTTGTACACGTTCGTGTTAAAACTCTAAAACGCTTGTTTCATGGGGTTCGACACATAATCCAAACCAGTGATGCGCTCTTAGCGTTACCCGTGTTTCCTCCTCCTCGTGATATGGATGGAGGAGTCCACGCATCCCAACGCGCACGACTGCCCCATGAAAGAAGCGCTCCGTACAGCAGTACAGCAGTACTTCGGTTGAACAACTTGCATCGCAAACCGCCGTAACCGGTCATCAGGAGAGAGTGGTCCTCAAATCGAGAAATCTTCCCTTCCATCTCGGCACACACATACTTCGAGGTACAAGTTTGCTGTTCCCGATCAAAATACGCTGTGTACATTAAAGCTGCCGCTGCACCCGTTGCGCGCACCCCAAAACTCAACAAAGCTCAAAGGGATAAAACTACTACGTATGCATATGATGACACGCTGCAGCAGTGGGGAGCAGTGGGTGATGCTGAGGAAGAACACGGGCCGCAGGCCGCAGAACAAAAAGTGCGTCGCCCGCTCTCACCGGATGAACTCGTTGATCATGCCGGCGAGCTCCGACCCCGAGTTCCTCTCCGCCCGCAGGAGGTCTCCGGCGGACAAGTGGGCGTAACCGAGGGCCTCCTCTTCCGCTATGAGCGCGCACTGCGTGCCCTTGCCGGACCCAGGCCCTCCCAGAACAAACACCACGTGCGGAGTCGCGCCTACGGAACCACCATTGCTGACACCGCGGGATTTCTTTTGTTGCCTGTTGCGGAGTGCCAAAAGCGCAGCGATTCCCACAACACCACTCACGAGAACCGCAGAGAGAACCACGCCCTTTCGTTCTCCAAGCTTCGCCATGATGATGATGCTTGACTCCGTCGTTGCTCCGAAGATGCCCAACACTACTGCTGTACAAAAGCACCCAACCAAGCGTTGCAACGTTGCAACGTACATGGGGAACCCGCAAACAACAGCAACATTGTTTGATAAGGGTATGTTGGGGGTTCCGCGCTTTCTCCGAGAGATGAGAGATCTTCCTGCCTGCTTTTGTATTTGTATCGTTCTGTGGTCCCTCGGAGCGACGCTCACAGGTTCACGCAGGTACTGCCTCATGGGTTCCGGTCAAGGCTTTTAATTCACGGACAAATAAAACAAGAGGAACCACGGTCGAGATGGATAGATGTTTTTTGTTCTTTTCTTTATCACACCACACAATCAGACACAATCTATGCTCCTATCGTATCACTGCTCATCACCTTACCTTGCCACATCGCATCCGAGCTTCTGCTGCTGTTCCATTGACGCGTAAGGGCTTGTTTCCAAGGCTGACACCCAAATGTTGGAACATTTCAAGATAACAACCCCTTTTGCTTCTCGGTGGTTGAATGACTTCAGACCCTCGAGGCGGGGCAAGCTTGTCAGGGGGAGTGGCGACGCGAGAGGACCACGAACCCACGTTGACGTGAACAAAAGATCAAGACCCTGACCAGGTTCTTGAGGGCGAGTGTGCAACGTATCCATTCGATGCGACTCGCACAGTCTTGGGGTATCACTCCAACGTTATGCTGCAGTGACGGGGTGCGGAACACAGGAAGGACTGTCGCAGATGCGATGAACTGCACGATGGAAAAGGTCGTTATTGTTCGATCAAAAACTCAAATCCCTTTCTATTTAGAAGGTAAACATTTGCAACCGACGATGAAAAGCGGCGGTTCTCCCTAAGGTTGAACAAGTAGTTCGATTCAAACAAAGAACTACTCCAACGGGCGGTTCTCGGGGCGTGGCTCTCTTAGCAGAGCCACACAACGAACATGCCCCCAAGTAATTGCCCCCGACCCAAACCCCCCGACGCTCAGGGGCAAACTCCCCACACATCCGAGTGCCCATGGCATTGTTTCTACGGACCGAAGAGTGCACAGAGCTTCACGTCCTCCACCCACTTGTCGGGAATATTGTACATTTTGAGTGCATTGAATAGAACAAACGATTTCCAGGAAAAACTGGGGGGGGCGGAGCTAGCTCCGCGAGCCCGTCCAACTTTCGAACAAAACGGGAGAATCTACCTTCCAGAGCATAGTTTCAAGCCAACAAACTCACCGCGTCAGAGAATCAAAACCCAGCGCGATACACCCGCCATAGATTAGCGGCAAAGCTCAAGAGAACGCACACAGGAGGCAAAAGCCCACATGGCAAGAAGACACGCACCGTCTCTCGCCGTTCAGCACCATGTAGACGAGCAAAAGCAGCGAATCACGGCACCTAGCATAGGGCAAACACAGCAGTGTGTGCCAGCACTCACATACGTGGATTGAAACTACCATACCCGTCGGCTACAACCAACCGCCCCATGGGTCATACCCTTGACAAAGACACCCAACTCACACCATCGATTGCAGGGCGAACAAGGGCGTTGTCCTCGTTATCCGACATCTACGGTAAGAAAACGAAAAAAAAATGACGTCTACGTACTGTGTGTACACATCTCTGTGCGACGGTAGTCGAGTCACATCACGCCGATCCCCCCCCTGCCCACGCCGTCTCTTCCCCAAAACGCTTGGATAGGAATTATCGGTCAACCGGGGCTTCCTGCGAGTGCCGTCCCGGCAAACGAGCAGGGAAGGTGGAGGGTTGGGTTTTAAGGACTGTCTTCTTCGTCCTGCGTGACACCGAAGGAGGACACGAACACGACGCAGGCGGCGCAACAGAGGATTAGCACAAGAGAGGAACCCCGCGGCGACAGAGGGAGACGCGGCATTCGCCCCGAGACAAGACCCCGAGACAAGACACAACGAACGTCGTGACAGTCTCCCGCGAACGACGCGACTAAATTTTTCACATGCACACATTTGCGCGAGAGGTGGTTCGTACCAAAGGACATTGGCCAACACCAAAGGTGAAGTTCCACACTACAGCTTGAATGTTGATGCTTGAGAGGACTACCAAAAAGTAAATCGCCTTTGAGCGCACATTGGGTGAAAGAATAAACGCGTGATCAAAAAACACAAACCTTTGAATTTCGAACCGTCATTGCGCGTCATCATTCCTGCAATCGTCCTCCCTACACTCAACACTCAATAACGATACCGGTCCAACCTACCAAAAACAAAATTAGGATTTCTGGTCTGTGCAGAGAATAGACGCGCCACCGTCTCCCATCGCCTCAATCCAAAAACAACACCTACTGTACTGACAGACTAAAAAAATTCTTTAAACACATAACGCAGCAAGTCCTGCACACGGCGGTATACACACCAACACTACATACCTCATCATCTTCGTCGTCATCGTCGTCTTCGTCTCCATCCTCTTCGTCGGCCTCCTCCAGCCAGGTCACGAATGGGGTGGCCTTGGCGCGCAGCGCCGCCACCTGTTCGTCGCTCAGCGCGGGCGGCGTGAACTCCTCGGAGCGCCCCTGCTCCCCGGCCCACATTAGCATCGCCTCCTCCTCGACGATGTCCGAGTCGTAGAGGTGCTTGAGGATCACGGGGAAGAAGCCCACCAGGTTGGGGCGGTGCACCTGTCGAGTCATCCCGCGTGTTTCGGGAGGCAAGCAAGCCCACAGCGACGGAGGGAGTTCTTGAGGGGCCGGGGGGGGGGGGGGGGGGTTACTCCTGATAACGCATGCCGTAGAACCAATACGATTGGCCTTGCATCCCGACCCGGCACCGAACAACCACCAGAATAATATTGCCTGCCGGCTTTTCCTACAATTCCAAACCAAACACGGCACTCGCCTGGCACAGGAGCTCGAAGGCGCCGATGATGTGCCTCTGGTCATCAGGCCGAGACTTGAGCATGTCGAACATGGCAGCCCGCGACTCGATGTCGTCCTTTGTCACCTTGTCGGCGGTGGCGAAAGAGGCGGCCACAAACAGGTGGATGCGGTAGTGGACTGGGAACGCGGCGAATGTCTGGGCCGTGCGGATTTCCTGCGTCGGGGGTTGGGGGGGGCGGGGGAGAGGGAAGCGAGGTTCGGGTCAGCGTCTGGAGAAGCAGAAGAAAATACTGCAGTTTTATTTACAAAAAAATAGAAACGCTGTGGCATCGAAACCAACAATGAAAAGTAGTGCACACCCCGGTCGCTTTTTTGGCTTGCTGTGCAAGTATGCCTACGACTGGCATCCTTTCAAAGGATCACCGAATAATCCGCTCGAGGCTAACCGAACAAACGCACAAAACACACTTGCCGCGGGAGCCCGATGACCGGGAAAGCGTGTCGCGTTGGTTATCCCGCTGCAAGACATGCGTCTTTTCATTTGGTCAGCCGGTTATCGCGTGGTCGATGCTAACTCCGGAAGCACACCCACGCCCACATTTCGCTACAAACTGACGTTTTTTCTTTTTTAAGCCGGCTACAGCAGTAGCCGGGTAGATGTTAAAAAAAAAAAAACGCACAGACGGACAAACACAATGCTGATGCTTACCTCGAAGATGTTTTCGTTGGAAGTACCGTCGTCGAGGTGGCGGCGAATGGCGGCCACGGAGTCGTCGAAGGCTACGGCGTCTTCCACCTCCAGGCTTCCCGACGTGGCAACCACATCGCCGAACTCGCTGTCACAGCAGCAGCAGCAGCAGCAGCAGCAGCAGCAGCAAGAACAGGGCAATGGGACAACAGTTAGGCAATGAGACGACACAAGGGGCCTCTTCCTCCTGAGTACACAGCAGTACGCCAGACCACACATTCGTTGCTACTGACCTTGGTAAACAAAAAGAATTGGGATGACATCTCTACCTGGTGGCAAGGGACCGCACAGCCGTAGGAAACGTCGCAGGTGCAGCTGCTGCTCCCACAACCCACCCTTCAAAAATAACACCTCGTTTCGCACCATCACAAAACACAAGAGCGCCACTAAAGAAAAGCTCCGAAATGATGTGACTCATACAGAGTAGCCTAGCCACCGCTCTCAAGCCTGGGAAGGCGGCGGCGGTGGGATGTGGATCCTCACTTGACGGTGGTCTTGGTCTCGCCGTCATCGGAGGTGTTCTCCTTGTCCCGCTTCTTCTTGTCCTACTCACGCCAGCGCATCCCACGGGGCAAGTGGCGCAAGCACGTCGGCAGCAGCAGTGCACCGCACGAGCAGCCATCGACCGATCCATCATCCGCACACCCGTCAACCAGCCAGCACGGAGGCGGTGCGTCGGCGACCACAGGGAGAGAAAAAAGGAGCAAGCAGCGGGCAACGACAAGAGAGACAAAAAAAAAAACACGTACAGATAAAAAATACGTAGTGCGAAAACACCAAACGATCAAGGCACGGAGATAGCTATTGAAAATGCTAAACGTTTCACCCGACGGGCAATTCAGAATGACAGAAACTTCGTACGTATAGCCGTCGTCGCCTGGCAGCACCGAAAGGGAGAGAGCCTCGACACGGGACGAGCCACAAAAAACATCAGACTTGCTGGCTAGGTTGTGGGCGCAACAGCGACCATTATCCGCGAGCATCGACGGCGGCGGCGCGGCAGTAGCAGACGCAGAAACGAGCGGAAAGCTCACCTTCTTCTTTTTGTCCTTCTTCTCCTTGGCAGAATCATCGCCGTTCAGAGATACCTCTTCCTTCTTCTTCTCCTGCGAAAAAGTCGCATCATGGCGAACGTCCACACCAACAAATATAAATATAGACACGTGATTCGCGCCTGAGCAGCGAGTGGACACAAGAGTCCAAGGAGTGAACGCCTTTCCGTCCACCAACCACACGACAGCGAGGTTCGATACGCTGTTGCGCTTGTGGTCAGCAACTCCGGCCGAAGAACACAATTCCACCGGTGGCAAAGATATGACATATCAGCAAGCGGTATATGAGTACCGTTCGAACCAAGCGCGAACCAACCGTAAAACCGCTCTTACTGGCCACGGAAACAGGAATAAACCCCAGGAGCGGCTCATGGGCTTGCACCGCAGCAGCTGTGGCCAAACACGCGCGACCCGCTATATACCTCTTACTTGAATCAAGTGCATGCGAGCCCGCCGCCGTAGCGAGGACAAGACGTACTTGTCGCCCGCCCCTCCCCCTCACCTTCTTCTCGCGCTTCCTCTCCTTCGAGTCCTTGGCCGCGTCCTTGTCCTTACTCTTCTTGGCCTTCTTTGCGGTGTTGACGATGTACGTGCAGAGCTTGTGGGACATGTCCACCATTTCCTTGGCCCCGCAGGCGTAGCACTTGTGGAAGATTGCGCCGTTCTTGATCTTGTACTCTGCCGCAGAAAGCAAAAGCAGAGGCAGAAGCACCAGCAGAAAGGTCATAAGAGATTGACGGTGGGATAAAAGGGCTGCTGTGCGTGAGAGCCCACCGACCCCCGGTTATGAATGAATGCGATCAGGGGGTCACCCCAATGGAAAGTGGCCAAAACACACCTTCCACACGCATCGCATGCCTTGGAAGTGCATCACACGCCAAGACAGGAGATGGGGTGCAACAACCAGTGAATCTACGAATCCCCGCCCAAAACACTCGCCCCGCCCCCTTCTCACTCAACACACAGAAACAAACGTATGCATACAAACACCCGATCTTCAAAGAGTGCAACGGAGAAGGGCAAAAACTCACTAGACTCGGGGAGGCGGCAGTTGGGGCAGAGGACGAAGAGCTCAACGTATTTGTGCACCAGCTGCTGGAGGGTGGCGTTCGTGTGCGCGCCGTTCACGATAGCGCGCTCGTCCTCCTCGTTGTAGCGGGTCTGTGGAAAGACAAGAACGGTACGTCGGTAGTCGAGGGGGGGGAGGGGGGGTTGAGACGAGATAGCCGGCGTACGATTTCGTTGCCCTCGACAGCTGGTGCAGTAGTGTGCCATGTGGTGTAAGAGCACAGCCGTCTTGTTGCCGCTGTGTGGAGGGGAGTCCAAAGCTTAACAAAGCTTTGGGAGAGGCTGCTCATCACCAAAGGCTGGACAGCCCGAGACCATCAAAAGACACAAGTTGGAATCGACAACGCTCGCAACACGTCCCCGCCCTCCAATCTCCTGGCTTTCTGCAACCGAGGGTGTACCCGAAAGTCTCGGGCTCTTCTTGCCTGCGCGCCCAGCTCGGTGCCGAAGAACTTGCAGACCTCTCCCGGGTCGCGCTTGAGGGCGAGGGACAGGTCCATCACGTTGAAGATGACGGTCTTGATACCGTTGCCCCTTCCCTCGACTTTTCCGATAACGCGAGGCATCTTGTACCTGTGCCGGGGAGGGATGGGTAACGTTAGCTTGACCATCTGACTGCTGCTGTGCACACCCCTGAATATAGCGACAAAAGTAGTTATGTTTCCGCCAGAGACGAGAATCGCGCGGTGCGCGTGCGTTTACGTTATGACCGTTACAGCACGACATTTTCTTTTCTGCCCCCAAGTGGTCTGCGGTCTTTAATGCCAGCCAACTTGCGTACCCCTCCCCCCACCTTCCTGCGAGGCTTTGCTGCGAGGTCCTGGAGCGCGGAGTGGTGGGCATACAAGATGCGCCACTTCCTTGCGCGAGGCAGGAAAGAAAGTCGATGTTAGAATTCTGCTGTTCGTTGCGCCCAACAGGCCGTCGAACCTTAGCCGCACAATACGACAGACAACTTCAGGCAAGATGACCCTACTAAAGGAAATCAAAGAGGCCGTGAGGCGAAGACAACGAAGAAAATTTGGAAGCACAGCAGTAGAGAGCAGCCTTTCAAGACAAACTCGCCTGTACTCTGGGTCATCGATGGGCTCCGTGCCCGAAATGTTGATGTTTCCCGACATGGTGGTGGCCAAGCTTCCTATCCAACCGCCCTCCGCGCGTCGCTTTTGCTATCCAGGTGGTTGAGTGCTTGGTTCGCTTATTTTGTGGCTGCATGGATGCGTGCGCAGACATGACACATTTGCGCGCAACGAAGAGCGGGGAGGGGGGGCAGAAGAGAAGAAAAAGCAGACGTGGGTCAGAACGGGGACACACATGCAAGGAGACGGCCGCACTGCCGCTCTTGATTGTTGCCCACTGCCGGTGCTTGCTGTGGGGGTCACGAGTTCGGCCTCAAGTTTCAGGTACCACAAGCCTTTGTGAGTGGGTTTTGAAGCAACGAGCAAGAGGTGCCCGCTGCACATCACGCTGCTGTTTGCTGTGTTCCTCTCATGTGCACAGCAGAGCTGCACAGCGAACAAGACCAGCCTTCGGTAAAGGGTCAACACTTGCAGAACGCGCGATCGTGGCATCTTTTCAACATCTCTTTCTTGGTGTCGGAGACGGTGCGCGCGAAAATTGTGGAAACTCAAAATCGTAGATCGGAGAAACAACATTTCTGTTCAAGCGTGCCGGAAATACGTAGGCGATATGCATATTGCACATGCGCACGACAAGTAGGCACATCCCTTAGTCTGACGCTCGCGGTTCTGAAAGTTCTACAATGTAGAAATGTTAGGAAGTCAACAAGAGCAGCCATTCATATCCCCCCACACACAACGCTCGTGATTGTACATTTCAGTGGAGTAAAAAACCTGCACGCGCTATAACCGTGCCGACACCGCTGCACCGCTTTGTGGACGAGGGGACAACAGCATGCTGTCAACCACGCAAGGCCTAGCCAAGCATGTCAGAAATCGGAGCCCCCCATTACACCGTCTTCTGCATCCTGAGCAGCGTGTATTTTGGTCATAAAGGTGTGTGAGGCCATGAGCGGCGCAAATGACGTCGGCGACGCATGCAAAGGAGCGTTTGAACGGAGTGACAGCAGTAGCGGTGAACCGGTGGGGAAAAAACAGTTGCATGGGGACTACGCCAATGTACATTTTGTACGTATGCTGTTTCTCGTGATAAGTGATTCGATGATTGGTGGGGTATACACCTGCTGTGCTTTCCTTTGGTGACATGGCCGCACTATATAGTGGTGCTGCTGCTGTGTAAAAGCTACTCGTTCAATCCGGTGCGGTGCGTCGAACCCCAAAATTCCAGAAAAAAATGCGAACGCCCCGGCTGCCGCAGCGGTTTGCCCCCCTCCTTGTCTTGAAACTTCAACGTGACCAGCAATCGTGCTTCAAAACCGAAGGCACCTGCCCTGCCATCTTCGCAGGCACTACCGTCTCCGCGTTATCTCTTTGTTGCCGGTGGCAACGCGTGACTTGGTCCTGCGTCGGGCTGGCTGATTGTTCGCGCCGAGGGCAAACTTCAGGGAAAAAGGGAAACAAACAGCGGCAGAGCTGAGCACGAAAACAAGTTGTAGAGGGAGTACTCGGCGTGGCGCGTTGCGCCAGCGGTAGAAACAACACAAACCCTCATGTGTCCATCACGTCATGGGCTGCTGCTGCTGCTGCTGCTATAGCACCGTTCGTGCGAAAACAAACACTCCCGCCGCGCCGCGGCGTAGCTACATAGTGGCCATCAAGAACGGTGCGTGCGGTGTGCAAAAGCTGCTGCCGCTCGTTGATGCTGAGAGGAACAGACAGAAAGAGGACGCAGCACTCATTTGGCATGGGAAAAAACAACCTATCCGACACATCACACGCTACATAGCTCACCGGCAGCGAAAAACCACGGGTGTGAAAAGGCGTTCGGGCGGGCCTCGGGCATAGGCTGGCCGTAGGCAAGAGGACGACCTGACTTGGGCACAGATGGTGGATACCTTTGAAGATCATACACCTCTTTCTCGTGAAGCGGAGGCGTTGAGTTTTGGTTGGGTGCCGGAGATCGAAATAAAGCTAAACCTTTAGGGTGTCTACCACCGCGTGCGCTTTGTCGTCTCCAAACGCGAGGGTTTCTCGGAGGGGAGGGAGAGGGCTTGGGAGAGCTGAGTGCCGTTGCGCCTGGAGAAGCAAAGACAGAAGAGCTTGGGTGTGAAATGGAGGTGGTGGGGGTGACCACAGGCACTCTAGGGGTTCCGTGACTGAAAATCGTTCGGGGCTCCGCGATTGAAGACAACGAAAACAAGCTACTACTGCTGTGTGGTCTGTGTGGTCTGTCTCTGTCACGAATGCGTACACGCGTACACGCCGATCGCTCGTTCTCTACGTGTAGTACTAAGTGCACGATGTGAATAGCCGTCATCAACAGCTTCCAGCCTATGACCGAAGTAATACAGTACTTCGCCTACATAACAAGAAGTTAAAATGAATGCGTCTATCTACAATGAACGAACGAAGTAGTGATGGGACGACTGAATCGTCAGTATCTGGGAACAATGAATGTACCCACGGGACGGAGTACGTACCTTATCTGCATGCTGGTAGATATGCATGGTCTAAGGCTGTAGGTTCGTTCGCGAAGAAACAACAGCAGCGTTTCCTGCAGTGCTACGTCAAATCGATACACAGCTACTCTTCATCTTCAACCAAAAGCTTGTACCTGTGTGGAAGATCTCGGTCACATCGTGTGTTGCAATACAGCGAATCGATCCCTATTCTCCATGGGGAGGATGACTTCGTCGTCATAGAGGCAGCACATCCTGAAAATGAAACCAACGCGATTGATTGCGTGTTCGTAGTTCGTCGTCAATGTACAAATTCACAACATCACCAGGCATGCTCAGCAACGTGCTACTATACCTCCTCGTAAACGATCTTGCCTCTCAACAGCTCCAACCCGCGCCAACAAAAACCGAAATCCACCGTGCTTTATGACTTCCGTTTGCCAGCAGCCCCTACCGAAATTAAGAATTGTACAACCGGAGACTAACTAGGCTGTATTGCTTTGCGTGACAGAAAACTACTTTCGCTGGGATTCGAACCCAACATATCAACTCCCAACACAATGCTAATAATCCCTTAACACAGGTTCCTCCGTGGTTCCTACCCTTTACTAATCCTGACGATTGGAACAAGACTTTCATCCCACTAATCAACCTTGCACCAATTCCCCTCAACATATACATGGGCCGTGCACGCGAAATGTGTCCGAAAACCCTCCTCATATTTCCCAAGGATATAATGCTCTTCTTATGTACTCGTCCTACCGTGTACGTTGGAAGAACGCGAAGCTACTGTAAACATTGAACAACCGAGATAGTCCCGAGTTTCAGTGTCGTATCACCAAATGCGCTTACCGCGATCACTCTCACCCGTATAACATCAACAACTCCTGGATTTCTACGAACGGCGGGCCCACCACACCCCTCAACAGTCACACGCTGGATGGTATCTGTAAAGATCACGCCAAATTGATTCGCACAACTTGATTCGCACAACTTGATTCGCACAACTGCTGTAGTATGACTAGGCCCGAGTATCGCGAAGAAGGCATCATGCCTCGAAGAAATTGAGGGCTTCCCCGTTCCTAAAACTGGGTTCCAAAATTGTACAGGGTCCTCCGAAAACGATACAGAACAAGGCCCTTGCTTCTGTCTTCGTCTCTCCTGACTCCCTCGTCTCGTGCTTACTCTCTGCATCTCTCTTGGCTCTCGTTCACTTGATAAATAACTCTGAATCCCTCCCTCCCCCTCCCCCCCCCCCCTCTCTCTCTCTCTTATCTCTGGTGGTACAGAGGAATATCGCCCTCAAGCTTCTGGATACCCAGCAATGGGGGCTACAATACAAACTATCGCGAACCCGAAGACTCTACTGTCGGCTCGGCCCCTTGGTTCTCCACCGCGGAGGACCGCTTCGCACGCCGTCTTCGACCATTTCCGCTCTGCGCACGCGGGTCTGTTTCTTCCCCACCGAGTGGTTGGGAACCCTTAGCTCCTGTTTCCACACCACCGAGTGGTTGGGAACCCTTACCTCTCGCCGAAGGATGCTTACGCGGCGCCCTGGACTCCTGCTTCCTTCCACCGCGGCCTTCTCGCCCCTTCCTGCTTCCGCTGCCGCGTGATTGGGCAGGGGTAGGTTGCGCCTCCTGCTTCGACATCTCGAGCGCCAACCCCAACATCTCCTCCTCCATCTGCCGCAACTTCTCTTCCTCTGCCACCATTTCCTCCCGGCGTTGCTGTTGTACAATGCCCTCGAACGACGTAGACCGCGGCTTTCCCTTCCCCGGAATGAACCAAGCATTTTTCCCGTACTCTTCTCGCTCTAATTTCTCTCGCTCCTCCTCCTCGAGAATTTCGTGAAAGCTCTTTCGAGTCCGCAAAGGCTCGAATTCCTTTGCTTCTGCAGGGCTGCTCGGGCTGTTCGGTTCGACTGGCCCCGCCGCTTCGCTCTTCCACGCATGAACAGCCTTCGGCTTCTCTGAAGCCTGCGTCCGCCGCGAAGATTTCTTGCCATGCGAAGGAGCCATAAAATCGACGAGAGAGTATACCGCGGTAGTTGGGGCGTCTTGCTGCTGCAACTGCTGGCGCTGAGAGTCTCCGCGCGTTGTACTACGCAAGAAGCTCATCCCCTGCGTTGCAGTAGCCGCCTCTTCCTGTGTTGCGGCCAACAGTGAGAGGAGGGCGAAATCTACGCTTAGGGCGGTGGGTGTGTCGAGTTCTCATTTTGTTGCTCGTCGAAGCCTGGCGGCCATCGTATCCGGTTCGAAACCGAGCCCTAACGTTACTTGTTTCAAGACTACGCCAACGTTTGGTCACCGTGTGTACACACCGAACCCCCTCGTTATCGTTTGTGACCATCGTATACTTGTTACCAGGAAATATCTAGAAGAAAGCGACTATTTGCAAATATTTTTCAGTATGCCATCGTTTCCCTTCATCCTTGTCACGTTCACGACAACGTGAGCTACCTCCTGCCTTGCCGCACAAATATGCCTTCGCATCTTCTTATTCCGTCCGGTTATGTTGGGGGTCGGCACGGAGGCTTTCACGGCAACATGACAATAATATTTACTTCCTTGGTGAGGCAATCGTTCGTGTGGCAGTGAATTGCACGGCCGGGACTGGTGCCCACGAGGCAAATCGTACCTTCCCCGCAGATCCCATGAGCATGGTAGCAGCCCGTTGCTGACCTTCCAGGGCATGTCGCATCGTGCTAAGCTCCTTGCCACGAGGCAGCTGGTTGGATGGACGGCGAGCTTGATGGGCATGAGATGGACTGGCTTCGGGGCAAGATGCCTGCCGCCCCTCGCTCCTATGTGGCAACTTTGCATTTGTTGGAACAGTGTTGCAGTTCGCTGCGGCGTCGAGGGCTGCAGCTGCAGCCGCACTATGATCTTGCGCAGCGGGAACGCTTGCCCATGAACGAGGAACCTGGGGTTCAGGTTGCGATTCCTTCGTCGCTTTGTGGAGCTGTTGCTCCAGCCGGAGTGTCGTTGCTCTGTGAAAGAAATGAGCAAACGGAGCCGACAAACACGTGCCTACGATGTGAAATACGCATTGCGAGAGCATCTATGACTAGAGGAGGAGAAATAACACTCTGGCGTTCAGTACTCATCACCTACATAGGGATGGGGCCCGCAGTTAAGAAAAAATCTGTTCAGAAAAAAAGGCTCAAATTACTACGGAAAATAAAAATTAAAAGGCCTAAGAAACACAGCTCAATCTCGGCCACAAAATAAGAAACGTCCCAATAAGAAACATCACCGTGCGATACCCCAAGACAAAATAAACAAGGGGTAGAAGCTGGGAGAGCGAGAAACATCCCACTGCTGCTGCTGCTGCCTTGCTCCCACCCCTTTCCTACAATAGGTCATGTTGTGCAATTTAATGGTAGGGGCGCAGAGTCGATATTTTCGCGGCGCCCCCCTCGCCCCAGCACCGCCGCGGGCTGCGCTACCCACTGCTGGTGTACTTCTGTACTGCCACAACCCCCAATGTGCGCCACATCGAGCTGTCGGTTTAATGCTGCAGGAAGGCTTTTGGTGTGTTGTTTTCTTCGCCATCAGAAATAACAAAATAAGAGAATCAGCAGGATGGGACAGCCCAAAGTAAGAAGAAATCCGCTTCTAAGAAATCGACCGACTTCGGCTGGTCCTTCTGCCCAGATTAAGAAATTGAGGCTCGACACGATTTTGACATTTGTTATCTCCGGGCCCTATCGGTATACCGCATACCTGTGCCGTCTCCCCCTCAAATGGTCGGCGTACATGGCAGCGCTAGCGCATTTGATCGAACACGCCTCGCAGTTGATCGTTCTTTTCTCGGTTGCCTGCAAAATAAAACAGCACGAAACGTACACCAGAACGGGACCAAGCTTGCGCGTAAGCATCGAGCACGGCGAGTTGACTGCCACAAAGTAAAACGGCAGAACAACGGAGAGAGTACATCGCATACAGTAGGGAATAACGCTGTTCACCTTCGTATCGTCGTGAGACAAGTCCAGCTGGGGTGTCCATTCACCCGTCTTCAAAGAGCTTGCCGAAGTTGCATCGAGATCTGGATCAAGGGCGGGGATGTCACGACCATCCATACCACTCTCATTGCGGAACAAAGTCCGCTTCACCTCCGGCGTCTTGCTACTTGGGCTGGCCTCTGTTGCGCGTGCGCTGCCGGCTTCCAGCCTGCTACTTCGCGCCGCCTGCGCAAGCTTCGCCCTCTCGAGCTGAGAATCGAGCGAGGTAAGCTCAGCTTCCATGCGACCCATTTGGTCCACCTTCGACATCTGCCAGAACACACGATTTGATGTTAGCCGACGCAAGCGAAGCAGCAAATTGATGCCCCATGTAAGTCAGAACCAAAGCAGCATTGTTCGGGTATGCATACATGGCTCATTTGAAAAAGGTATCCCGCACACCTCCACTCAACCCGCTGTGCCGAAAAAAAAAAAACATACTCGCCCACGTCCTTCATTAATGGTAGTACGCAACACCCTTACATCCCATGAATGGGCTTTGGAAAGAGAATGGGCTTGTTGCTCTGGATGAACCTTACACAACCGCCGCATACCGTCGAGAAAGTGCGACGAAGGTTCCCAACAACGAAGGAACTCAACTGTCTTACGCATACACAGGCAGACCATCAATGGACTTGCGCTTTCCTTTCCTTCCGCACGATCCTGCCTTGCCAGCCAGAAGTTGGACTCACTTATGCATATGTGACGTGTGTGTATTTGTATAGAGGAACCTCACTCTCGCCTGCGCAGATCGATAAGGCGCACTCCGTTTACCAAAAAGAGGCGTGCAATGATGTAAACAGTTGAGTGCAAACACGTACCACACATTGCTCGGTATACTTTTATTTTCTGCGTGAACGACAGGCCGAGCACACTATGTGATCGTCAGTCGTGCCTGAACTCATCGCATCACTCTGTGCTCGACGCAAAAACCGGTGAGGTTGCTGTCTCCACAAAAAAGTAGTACTCCGGAGCAAATAACACCAGCAAAGCGCACCATGAAATGTCGTAACTGTGTACCGCGATTTGCACGCGTACTAGAAAAGATGGCCTCTCTTTCGAAGTTTGCGTGCAACGAACTATTGGAAAACCCACCTGGTCCGCTGAGAGGTCCTTTCCCTTCTCTCTCATGCGTTCCCATTCTTTTACGCGAGCAATTTTTTTCTTGAGAGAGCGCACAGCTCGCGCAGCCACCTTCGCGGATGGGGTTTTCGCCCGCATGTCCGCACGCGCTAGAGCGGTCGCTTGCAGCTCGAGGTCCAGTCCCTGTCGGCCACAGCGAACGAAAACAGTGTTCAACCAGTGGAGGAGAAAAATCGGGTGCGTGACACGCGGACAACAATAGCGACAGGGTCGTGCATGCCAACAACAATCATCGCCGATATTTCAAAGCCTGCGACTCTCACCTCCTCCTCGTGCAGACCGAACCCTGCGCCATCAGCAACAGAAGGCTCGGCCACAGCAGATGCTCGAGCTGTTGGTTCCCGTGATCGCGCACCGCACAGCAAAGAGGACACCTGTCACGACGAACAAACAGCCGAAGAGATTGTCGGAACACTGATGGAACATACAAAAGCGAACAAACACACGTGGGACACCAAGGGCACAAGAGCATACACCGGCCCGAAAAATCCCCGCCGAATAGCGATGTCATTTGCTCAAACACGGCCATCAACAACCACCAGCATGGCCACAACAACTCACCAGTTCCCCAGATGCCTCCAAAAGGCAGGAGGTTGTACTAGCGCACCCCAGCACCAGCACAGCATCGAGATTCCGCTTCACGTACTCCGCGCAATACAGCAATAACGCAGGAGCATCCAGCGCATCCTGGAAAGTCGAGGGTACACAATCAAGTACAACGGGAGCGAGACATGGGCGTGGTGAAAGGTATGTGTAGTACCAGATCATTGAAGCCTACGTGAAACCACGTAAACTTGATTGTGCGTCCATTCGCATGTGTATGGGGGACAGAACAGACCATACACACATCGGTGATGGTGTCTTAGAGAGCAGCAATCTTGACGTACCGCGTAGGCAAGCATCGCCCCGGCGTTGTGTAAATCCACTTCCCGAGCCAACTTTGCCTCACAACACTGCTTGAGAGTAAGCGGCTCAAACCCTCTGGCAGGGTTTGTGGTGAAAAGCCCTCCACCATGCGAAGAACTATCACGTCGTTCATCATCCCCGTCGTCAATGTCGGAGTCTGCGTCTTCTCCTTCCTCTTCAATCAGCGAATGACCACCCTCCTCATGCTCGTTAGATAGAGCATCCACGGTGGCAAACGCGGCGCCGTGTGGTAGGGAAGGGCAGGATGCCTGCAGGAGGACCACGGTGTGGTCGGGGGCAGCCGCTACCCTTGCTACCTGACAAAAAAAAACGAAGGCAGTTTTCGTGGACAGCGCAAGAGCAGAATGAACGTGAGAGATTATTTGCGCCTTTCCACAGAGGTCGCTAGCCCTGTTGGATTGGTCAGCCTCGGAGAAATCAGTGGCATGGTCGTCGAGGTACGTTTTGTTTGTTGTGGTGGCCTTGAAAACTCTTGGTGAATCACCTTTTTGAGGCTAGGCACCCGCTTGGCAAGTGGTTGCCAGCGGTTCGATCCGTGTCCCAGAGCCCCGCCCTCTCCGCCAGAAGTTCCCCACGTAAACAGATCGCCAGTGTCGGTCACAACGCACGAATGCTGATCGGACGCCGACACGCTGATGGGGTTCCCTCCGCAGTTTTCTGGTAGCATTGCTGCCACTAGTTGGGGGCCACGCGCCGTGCGTGTCTCTCTGGGGTCAAGACCTGCGTCGAGTTGTTGAGGGAAAAAGGGAGAAATTTCGCTTCTTGTTTCCGACTGCAGGCGATTGGCCACCCCTCTCGACTTCCCGTACGTTCCATTCCCACAAATGTATGCTCCTTACAGCTCCTCGTTTTGTACACAGCAGTGCTTTGTGTCTCTGCGTTATCCTCCGAACTCGTCACAGATCTAGGGGAGGGGGTCGTACTCTTATGTTTTGCATGCCTTAGCGGGTAGACCATTGACTACGCGTCCTCTTGACTACGCGTCCTCGAGAGGACGGAGCATTGTTCCTGTAGGACCGACCACCGATGGCCAATCGTTCCTTCCTACTTTGCCAAAGGTGGCTCAAAAATATTCTCCCTACAGTAGTTTTATCTATCCTATCGATATCACTACGCGTGATTTCAACGCACTTCCTATGCCCCAGTACAGCTACCATCTTCTCCTGGCTATTCCATGCCTCAAACATCACCATGTATCTTCCTTCTACTTTCCCAAGCTCGGTCATGTACACTTCCGTCTCCTCGTACAACCGACATTCCGCAACCAAATGAACCTGGTCTTCGCACTCGGAGCCGCATTCACATTTGCCTTGTCTTCATTGTCTACCTTCCTAAATCTTCGACTACGTTCCGAGGGGGGGGGGAAGCTGCGATAATCATGGAGCACGAGCATCGCAAGGACACTCCAAATGGGCGCACGCACGCAAAACAATCTTCCATTATGGGACCTGGGGAACGCAAGACAATTCTTTTCTCCGAGACAGCTTCGTACCTAGGTGGTCCGCGCCGAATCCCCACGTGAACACCATCCCTACTCGATCGAGCGCGACGTTGTGGCAGCGTGCGGCGGCCACGTCCACGATATCGACCCGAGCATCGTGTGTTTGCCATCGCGAGGATGGAGAAGCATCCTTGGCGCTGTTGAAACTGACGCGGCTCGGGACTGGGCTCCCGTGCCCCCACTGGTGAACCTCATTCACCGTTTGAAGGCCTGACCCTCTGTCAATCCCGCGAGTAACCACCACCGTGCTTCGAGCCGACGCCGACACCTTCGCAGACCACACGAAGCACATCGCCGAGAAACAGCAGCAGGTCAAGCGATTTCGTTGGGCAACGCTATAAAGGCACAACTTTCACTTGCTGTTCCGCCATTGAACACACAGGTTGTCCCGTTCAAGGCGGAGTGAAGCGCATGCCAATACCATAACAAACTCACCTTGATTACATGTCTTCCCACTCCGCCTGCGCCCCGTGAAGCGCCGCTTGCAAGGTACGAAACGACGCGAGGTGCGCACGTTTCCTTTACGCCGGCCAATCCCAGCTGTCCGTGGTTGTTCCGCCCGAATGTGTAGCACTGCGACGGCCAAACATGGAATGATAGTAAATCATAGGCGTTACCACTATCAAAGAGAGGAATAAGTTGACAGAACCAGTCCTAATTCAACTCGCGCCCAATACTACGAACCATGCGCAACGGAAAATAAGTCATTCGCATGCCTGCTGCATACGCCGCACGAAAGAAACGGACAGCCACCCGTGAGCACTCACATGTCCAGAACTTGTGGCGACCGCTGTGTGCTCCGTACCTGCCGCAACGGCGACCACGGTAACCTTTCGTAAACCCTCTACCCGCTTCGGGGCGAATCTCCCGCTCGATCCTGCTGACCCATGACCCAGCTGGCCAAATCTATCGCGACCCCACGTGTAGAGCTCTCCTTCGCGTGTAAGCGCAGCGGTATGGGTTTCCGCGACGGACACGTCCGTCACTGCTTGGTGAGCCAGCCCGTCTACCGGAGTCGGCAGCATGCACACTTCCTCGTTCCCGTGTCCCAGGCGTCCGCTCTTGCCGTGTCCCCACGTGAACAGTTTCCCGCACACGGTTACGGCAGCTGAATGGTGCCTGTGGGAGGCAAGAAGCATGTTTTCAGCGAAGATCGGCAATTGTGGTGGCTGCACGGGGTACCTTGGTATGCATGGTGATAACGATACCGACAATTTCAAGTTGAATTTCTATTTAGCAATGGGGCAGAAAAACGCTGTAAGGGGCCAGTAGGAAAATATGAGTTCACGTACTCCTGCCGTCGTTCTTATAATCTATTGTCGACTCACTTTGAAGCAGCGACCCGCGTGACATGGAGGTTGGCCAAAGACTCCACCCGTCTAGGCGGTATGATGTCCGCCCTCCCGAAGGAATCATACCCGAGAGTGAAGTCTGCCTTACCAAAGCTGAACACATCGCCCCCGACACCACTCTCGCGTGCGATTTTGAGATGATTGCGCAGCTCAAGCGACAAGACATCCAAAGGACTATTTCCCTCGAAGTCTCCGAGACCGTCGTTGATGCGCCGACGAGCGCTTGTTCCGCTACGGTATTTTCCTGTCGAGGAAACCGACTCGGAGCGAGAGCGAGCACGATGCTTCTGCCGGTAGTCTCGGTCTGGTTGATCTCTCCCGCCATCCAGGAGAGCTCCGGCTTGCAAGAGCAGAAGCGAGAGCCGAATGTGGCCGAAATAGAGGCTCCGGTGCAACGGCGTCCAGCCTGATTCCCAGTCTTTGAGATGAACAGATGCGCCGGCATCAATCAGGACCTGCGTCGTTGGCAACGAGGGATGTGATGCGTGATCAGCGTGCGCAAAGAAGATGCTTCGGGAACGCCCACCTCTGCGTCTAACTTACGTCGAGCCGGCACATGTGTTGCGATTATTTTCTTTGCGACGCATGCCCTTTACCCAAACGAAGAATGCACTCTTGAAACCTTCGAGGTTCTGTATGCTGCAGGTCAGCTGGCGTTAGCACTCTCCCCATTGCTTACAGTCGAATGAGAAACATTTCAGAGGAGGACATCAAACCATGTCGTATCTGACGCATTGGCGATAAGTGCCGCCGTGCCATGGTAAATAAGAGGCACGTGTTGTACAAGTTTGGACATAAATCAGTTCGAAAGCTTACACAGCTGGACGAGTGGCAGGTAGATACTGGCGGTTCTTGTTCTTTGTGCGCCCACGCGCCCACCGATGCAATTCTGTTTTGCGCTGTCAACCCTATGCAGCATGTGCTGCTCCGGACTGCCCCCACTTCCCGCCACACATCCTGGGGCGGAGCTTCTCACCAGCGAGGGCAGGTAGTTGTTAACCCTCCTACAGTAGTACTCAGTCCCTCCGCAAAAAAAAATGCCGAAAAAATGTTTGTCAGCCATTGGTCGAGGGGCTACGGTCCCTCCAAATAATCTGAGATCCTTGCCAGACAAAGGGTGACTTGGCTTCAGTATGACAAGTGTTCCCAAAACACGTGGGGACACTGCTGATACTGAAGCCAAGTCAGCAAATTTTTCCAGTACGAGGCGATGTACAGCAGATTTACGAACTGGGAGGCACGCGGGTTGGGAGATGTGTAGAGCAAGTGGCCCAGGAGAGGCATCACACAGCATATCACACAACGTACCACCTCACCCAAGCATGATAGACCAAGGGTTCTCACGTCGTTGCATACAACGGAGCCTAGGGTGACTACAGTGCGGTAAATAGGCCTTTGAGTGTTGCGTCCCAAAGTGTCCCCATTTGGGCTTTCCAGTACTACTACTGTAGGAGGGTTGAGACGTGAAGACAATATACGCCCCCCGAAGAAGAACTAGATTTGTTGGCGGAGGCGGCGACGGGGGTGTAAAGGCGATCATGATCAAGATTCTTTGAAGTTGCTGTCTCCTCTCCACTACATACCCGGCCGCACCAAAAGACCGTCCGAATCACCACATCATACACCATGAAGGAGATGTGTGGAAACGGTTGGCTATCCTGCCATAACATGCGTGGGCAGACAGCATTTGATCTCCGCCTCCTTGACCTCAAATCTAACATTCGCATCTAAACAACGGTTCAGCGAATTTGCATTTTGTACACCACCTGCCGCGCAGAGGACAACCGATGGAAATACCTACCCAATTGGTGGGCATTCTGGGAAGTGATGCACCTGTCGTGCACTGTACAAATTGGTTTGAGAGTACCCTAGCTGTAAGCACCAACATCACGGGATGTGCGGGTGTGTACGCGTGTAGACACCGGGACACGTTTTTAGTCTGCGCATTGCAGGAGCTACAAGTGGGATCCGCATACCGTTGTGTCATCATCATGCAAGAACTCTTGTGTAAGGAACAGACATTTTCAAGAGGTGCGCTTTGCTTCACAACATCGAGGAAATGATCGGCAAGTGCAGCAGCACGGTAAGACGCGGCTGATGGCAACGGTGATGTTGTACCCGACACAGTTGTTGGGTCCCAACTCTGACACGCGTCCTCGCTGTGTCGTTACTACGGTACACGGCCGCCTGCTGTAACGTGTTCATCACAACAGCTGCGAGTTTCCCGGTAGAAGCCCCCGCGGCCCGAATGGCACCGACAATACGGATGCTAAATTGTCTGTGTGGAACGAGATCTTCTCATGGAATGTGTCGCCCGTGCACTTACCGTCGCCATCTCTTCGAGCCCGTGTCGTGCCGCGAGATGCAACGGGGTCTCTCCAAGGCTATTTCTCGAGTCTACGGGGACACCGTCTTCGAGCATGCTCCCAACGCCATCTAGCGACGCATCTAGCACGTGATCCCAGATGTTCGCCATCTCTCTCCCATGCCCTTGCTCGAGAGAGCGGAAATATGGTGACGAGGCGACCAGCGTGTTGTGGGTTTGGGGGGGATTCGCCCGGGGAACCAAGTCAGGAACTGTCCGAATGGTGAGCAGCAGAGGGTTTTGTGGGACGAGGGGGGGGGAGGCAGCGCGGGATGAAAAATGCGGCGTAATTAAACAACCCGTAGCTGCCGAATTCACGTCGGCACGGCGAGGCACTTACTGGCTCGGTGACAGCAGCTCACACGCAAGAGCGAGGGGAAAAGGAGAGAGGGAGAAAGAGGAGAGGAAGAGTGGAAGAACCTAACCGCTGAGTATTGGGGCTGACAATGCAGGTGAGACTTTCCAAGATCAGGAACCGACTTGTACAATAACGCCGTGTTCGCTCTGCGTTTGCACCAGATGATACACGGGGTACGCCAGCAGCTAGCAGTTATGTAGCAGTAGCAGTCATATGGCACAACAACGTTTTGAGCTGCTCTGCTAATACTTGTACGAACTCTGCTGCATCATTCGCTGTCTCTGTCTCTGTCTCTATCGGTTTCTCGTCCTCTTGTCTCTGCGTGTCTACGTGAAATTTGAATATTCAAACCCTCAAGCCTGCTGCCAGTTGATGAGTCAAGCCGCGGGTACTGCTATGTTTGCACGAGTGCTCGGCGGCAAGTGGTCTCAATATGACATCGCTATGTGCCAATTGCGGCCACCCCAGAGTAAGGAGTAGTTGCATACGGCAACCTTTGGAGCTTGATCTCGTCACGCTGTTGGTTCCATGTATGCTGCGGTGGGACACGCCATTTCACAGCTGCCAGACAACCTCTCGCATCCTTCCGCATCCACAGCAGTACACCAGCAGTTTGTTTACCGCGGTAGCTAGGCACCGACCGCACACGATGATCACGGGAGATCGAGGGAGTCACAGCACCATGCCGTGGCCTCACGAAACTCTGACATTGTTTCTGTCGGTGGTGGAGGTTGGTGGGTGTGCCGAAAGACACAACAGTAAGTAGGTTTACAGCAGTAGACCATGCGCTTTCCAACTCTCCCGGGATTTCCTATTAGGGTCTCTCTGTGCGCGTTGGAACGGAAGCCTCGATTAACACGCTCCTGTCTTGCTGGAATGCAACCTGGCCGAGGTGGCGGATCGTGCTATACTAACAAGTAATCGGTGCCCGATAGGTCCCATTTCGGGCAATAATGCTGTCATGATGTATGCATACGACGGCTTCCAAACCCACAGTCGGGTTCGCACACGCGACTGATGGACCGATACTGCTGTTGTTGTCGAGGCCCCTGCTTTCCCTCCAAGTCGGACGAGACATTGTCCCGACTGCCGAAGCGCCGCGGATCGTGGAAAAAAACAAGGAATTTTTCGACCGGGTCTTGGGGACGATAATGTTTTCTGAAGGTCATCCATTATGTATACAGTATACATTTCCCTCCTTTGTTTGGATGTGCCCGCTCCCGGCCGGAAGCGAACCTGAGATTTAAGGGTTGATCTCGGGCAGGGGTATGAGTTTGTTTGAGGCGCAAACTGTAGCGTTCTCCCTAGACCACTTCAGCCCGTCCATACGGATGGGTTCAATCGTATGTGTCAACGTGGAGTCCCAGATAACTCGGGCGACCACAGCGCCTATCTTCCGTTTGAACAAAATGTTGAACAATATTGCCCAAAAAGCGTTTTTGTTCGCGTTTTTAAGAACCCGGGGTCGGGGGGTCGGGGGAAAAAGTGGCCCCCACAAGCATCTCAAGCCACACCCTCTTACTTCCTTTTCTTTTTGTCGTTTCGGCCGCCGAACACACAAGGCACTCACGGCATGTGCGTTCGCGGGGAGCGGGGTTACCCGGGAGGAGAGCGTGGCATTGGACAAGGTCAAGCCGACCCTCTTCGAGCGCCTTGGCCAGGACACAATCGAAGGGATATCGGCGTTGTTTTACGACAGGTAGGTGTACAGGCCAGGCTTTACTTCGGGCGGATATGTTTTCAGCCGTGGCGTCCGTCCGCGCCTTCCGCACTTGCGCCGAGATTTTTTTATTTCAAAGCAAAAGATTGTACCAGTACGGTATTTGGTTCGCCTCTTGTGTGCATTCTCCCCGTGGTTAGTGTTTTCGCGTGGGGTATCCCGAACGGTCGAGAGGGCGTCAGAAGTACTTCACGCTCTGTGCTGGTGTACCTGCCGCTGCTCCTGCTGCTGCTGTTGCCAGACTGGTTTGATTGTGTGGCCACTTACTTGCTCTGATTTAGCGAATCGTGCTGTCGATATACACGTCCTGCCTCCCGAGCGCCCAACGTAGCCAGCCCTGCGTGGGGACGTCGCAACACCTTAACACCAGCCCTCAAATGTTGCAAGGTGTTTCTTACGTCGCCTGTTTGTTGTTGTTGACATCATGAGTCTCGTGCGCGCGAACGCAGGGTCTTTGACGACGAGGAGTGGTTCAGATCGATCTTCTCGGCTTCCACAAAGAGGGAAGCTGTTCAAAACCAGGTGAGCGGCTTATTCCTGCTCCCCCTCCGAGCGAGCGGATTGGCTCCGGTGTAGGCATATGCTTCGCAGGAATTATAGGAACTTTGTCGTGTTTTGTGACGAAAAAAAGACGGATTTGCGAACTCCTTCTATTGCTGTCGGCACTCGATAAGAATGGGGTACTCTCCGGTTGTGCTCAGGATTAGACAGTCGCCCGGTCTCGCCGATCGCACGTTGTGGGATCGGCACCCGTGGCGGAAGAAGCAGGTCTCTCTGCAAGGCGCTGTTCCGTCGTAATGTTGCTTTCGCCACGCAGGGGTGTTGTGTTTTTTTCAGCTCTGTTTTTCGTCTCCTTTTTCGTCGGATGAGTTGACGTTGGGCTTGGGAAATATGTCGCGCGTCGCCGCATACCCCGTCACAGACCACGGGAACTGATTTGCTGTTTTGCCCGTTAGTTTCCATTTGGTTTTTAGAATTGTGCACCCTCTTTGGGGGTTGATGGCCTTTGAACACAAAAGGCGCCCGAGTCAATTGGACCAGTAGGATAACGGATATTTGAAGGTACAGTACTGAGTAGAGACCAAAACGATTTTTTTATGTGAAGACAACAACAACAACATCATCATCAACAACAACAATAACAACAACAACAACAACAACAACAACAACAACAACAACGTGCAGGCGGATTTCCTCGTCGAACGACTCGGCGGCCCCAAATTGTACACCAAGAGGAAGGGCAAGCACTACCGGTTGATCCACAGGCACTCGCCGTATGACCTGAACCCGAAATCAGCCGCGCGATGGCTTGAGGTATGGCGTGTTCGTCGCGAGAAAGTCTTGCAGTTGCTTCGTGACACACGCCATTTGAGAAAAAACAAGAACGTGGCTTTGTGACACACGTCAGTGAGGTACAAGGAGTACGTTAAATGACCTCAGGCCGCTTTCAGCCTGTCGCCGCAAGCCTATGCCGGGAACAACAACGCAGCGGGACCTTCATCGTAGTGGTGCTACAATTCTGCAGGGATACGTCATATAATAGTCTAGTATATACTTTGTCACAGCAAAGAGCGAATCAGTCTCTAGACGGCCATACTACGACTCCGTTGACGTAATGCCACGTCGGCGACGCCCAAGTTCTCCCTTGTGCTGAACTTTCGACATTTTGACGGGGAGCTGTACACTTCTCACCGACCTGCGCTTTCGACTTCCTTCCCTCGTTCTGCGTTGCCTTTGGTATCGTTACACAAAGCACATGGAGGCAGCGATCGATGCGAGCGAGGGGGTGGACGCAGAATCGAAGAGACTGCTGATGGCCTACTTCTCGCACATGGCGTTCTTTTTGGTCGCGGGCAAGGATATGTCCAACCCCAGTAACCTGGTCGATTACCACAACAAAATGGCCGAATCTTGCCCGAAGATCTAGAAGTAACGTGGATTTTGTGATTTTGTATGTAGCCCGTAAATGGATAACCCCCCGACCCCCCCGACCCCGAGCTCTTCTGTTGTAAGTAAGATCAGAGAGGACCTGAGCGTCGGGGGTATGTTTTACCTAGCATGACCGTTTTCGGAAGTGGGCAGAGGGGAAAGTTCAAGTGGACGATCGTCTCATCATAACCTTTTTCCAAACGTGTTATCGCGCAACCAACGGCGTCGGTCGAGAATTGGAGTGTGTGTGTGTATATTTTGTTGGCATCGACCGCGCTTACCGAGCTCAGTAATGAATTTTTGTCAGTATTGCATGTCTGCGTGTGTTTTCGTTGACCTGTTTTGGGCGCCAGTCTACACCTGTTTTGCATATGTTTTGGGCAGCAGCTGGAGCCACACAGGAGGCCAGTCAACACTCATCAGTAGTCAAATCCTTCCTGCCCCGTCGGTACCTAACATTCTTGTAAGTCAAATGCCCCCAATAGGGCTATGATAGTCTAAGGCTTTGCTGCCGATCAGCGTTTTCACCTTCGTACTTTCCTATCGTGCATGCTTGGCCGCCCCTAACACACGGTCCAGTAATATTTTCGGACAACTGCCGTTAGTTTTTGGTTTCCCACCGCGTCAATCGCCGTCTGCGGTCCGTTTTCGTCTCTTGGGAACCGAAACTTGTTGCCGCGTGGATGCCCCGCGGTCGCCTGGCGTTAACGCGGTCGATACCTCCTCCGCGGGGCGAACATGGCACCCAATATCCGACGAACGGTTGACGGAATCGCAGTTGCGTCACGATTTCGGTCTACACTGGGACGGAAGTTTGCCAAACGTCGTCCAGGCCAAGACCTTGCGCTTTGTCCTCTCTTTGCATGGAGCGTGGGGCGGAACCTCGACTGATTTGAGTCTTGGCTTCATAAGACGAAGCACGAAACGTTTGCGCCTTGATTCCGCCTTGTGCAATCCCGACAAGAAGGCGCCGCGCACGCTCATCAAACAGCGAGATAGTGATCGAAAGAGCAACCCCATCAGCGTTTCTCATCACCCGGGACCTCCTTACCCACGCAGAGAACCTCGCGCCTTGTGCTACTTCATTCAAGTGACTTATGTGTTGCGTGGATGGCACGTACTTTTCTCCTACTTCTGCACATGCGTTCTGATGTCAACTTTGCCACCTTTCCTTTTCACTGGCCCCTGATCATTTTTTCTCGAAAGAGTTCAAAACCAGTGAACGAGCACGGCGAAGACCATGGGAACTCGCAGATTGATGAGAGTAGAATTGCCCAGTATTTACAATAGTTTGGCATCGCCGTCATTCTGAACATGTGCTACAAACAGTGCACTCGCCCATGATCTCTTACCTGCCTTTCAACGCTGTGCATCATGCATTTGTTACGCGTCCATCATATAGTCCAAAAATTCTGCCATGTCTACCTTCCCGCTGCCGTCACTGTCGAAGAAGCCGAAAATTTCTTTCAACTCTTGGTTGGTCAGTCCAAACCCTGTCGCAACCATGAGCCTATTGAGCTCTGTTATGTCGACCTTTCCATCCTTGTTGTGATCGATTGCTCGGAAAGCATCCTCAAACTCCGCCCGTGTGTTCTGTTGTTTGCAAGTATTAGGTACCCATGGGAAGCGGCGGGAGAGAGAGAGGAAAGTACAGTAGTGGAAATGATCAAGTGCACGTGTTTTGTGCTGCCGACCAGCCCGTAGCAAAATAGCGGTGGTTTAAGGATACGGGCCTGCACGAACGTTTCGCACCTGGTCCCCCTGTTTGCACGAAAGACGCACTTTGCCTGATGGCGGCTAGTCAGCCTTGAGAAGAATATAAAGCTGAAGCCTCATCAGCAGAATGTCGAGCCTCCGGACTTGCTTGCCGTCCGTTGTAGGATAGCAAAGGTGTACTACGGCATTCCAGCTCTTCTCTTCGAAGGGGGACCTTTCTCCCAGAGATTCAAGGCCCAACAACAATGCCCGGAATGACCTAAAGCATATACTCTCTTCCCTCGCAAGCATGATCGAGTACGATGTTTCTGATGGTTGCTGTAATCGTTTCGAAGCAGAGATCTTCGTGAATCCCCACGCCATGACCTCATCATGGAGATAGACCACCTAGTGAATATTTCACAAACCGCACCGGGAACTCAGACCTGGCCAATTTGCGCTGTTGCCCTGAGTATAAAGAGAAAGGGCCTTATATCACGCATTCCTGTACTCGGGGTGCTCTCACCAGCGTACCGTCGGATGCACCATATGTGTTGTTCTTCTTTGTGTGGCTGCAATGGACCTTTCGATACAATACCGGTACTTGGTGCTCCATGTTTCGCAATAAAAATTCGATGCTACGCACACGTGCAATACTGCGAATATCTTCCAAATTCCGATATTTCTTCCAACCAAGCCCTTGAATATACAACACGGACGATGTCTCAGCTGCAAAGGAGGGGGAAAGAGACCCACCTTGTACGTGAGCCTTGCCGTCATAAGTAGCCTGAACTCGTTGAAATCCAGTGTGCCTGTCTTGTCTGCATCGTACTCGCGAAATATGTGGTCGGTCTCTTCCTCGGTCGGATTCTGCCCCAGTGACCAAAGCGCATCTTTCAGCTCGGACTTCGTGACTGACCCATCTCCGTTCACGTCACACAGCTTTGTTCGGGAAAGAGAAGACCGGCATTTGTTTGACCAGCCAGCAAATTTCACACACAACGTAAGCGAGGGCCTGCGGCGAAGTCGTCCGTTGGGCAAAGTGGCAGATTGTTGTCTGTGTCTCCTAGATCGCTGTGGTGAGTGTTTCCTGTGCAGAATATACACTTTCTGCACTTTCCACTTGTATTGAACCAGTACAATTTGTGCTGCAGGCATTTGCTCCCGAACTTGACTGTCACATGATGAGCGATTTTCCGTGCGCTACGTCACCCTCCTCGTAACCGAGGTCCCGAAAAATCCAGTAGAAGTATATCATCATGTACACCCCTTTGCAGATTACCTTGAATATTTGCACTATTTCATCTTGTTCTTCTGCCGTGAGCTCTCTTTCGCCTGTAACGCGCGACCTAGGCGGGGACACATGACCGACGACTCTGCCGATAACTGATGCAGCAGCACCCGAGCGGGACATCTCCGTCAAATACGGGTGCTAAAGTGTATCAGCCTCTCTTGAAGCGTTTCGATGCCAAGTGCACCACGTAGAACAACTCCCGCCAAAAAGAGATAGCACACAGCAATGCGAAATGCCAGTAGTTAGTTGTGCGGGTTCGGGGATCGGGGTTCGAGGTTCGAGGGTCAAACGTCAAACGTCAAACGTCAAACACTAGTCCGAGGTTCCACCGCAGGAAAGTTCCCCTTGAACGCGAGCAGGAACAACAAGTTATGCCGCACATCCCGAACCACGCCGTACATGGCGCCGAGATCATTCTTCCCTGCTGCTTGTATGACCCTCTCGATGGCATCAGCGTCGGCGCTAGGCGCGTGTATGTGACGTTTCACGGGGAGTGAGCCTGGTGTTACTCGACAGAGGAAAGCCTCATGCACCCTGCGTCGGCTGTTGGTCGCACCGCAGACACTCACTCCCTTCGTGCTGCGAGGCAGCTCTATGGCGGTGATCCTGTATCAGACCAATGTCCAGCAGGGTCAGTGGCCAATATTCCCCCCTGTTACTACTATAACCAGCAGGAAGCGGGGGTAAACCAACCCAGGGCAATCAAGAAGCGTCGAAGACGACTGCGGAGCAAGTCGAAGTTCTGTAGAAATGAAGCCGATGCGAAGCACTACGCCGGCGGCGGTGCTGGCAACCAGGCGGTGCCCAGAACAGAGCCCCGCTCAGCAGCCCTGCAAGTGGCGGATGACAAAGTACACACACGCTCCGATGGTCATTTTTCCAAAGGGCTGCTGAAAGCCAAGAATGACTGCAGTGCGCGGGACGCTGGGGCATCTATCGCACGTTCGTCGACTCCAAGAACCAACGAGTGCACAGCAAGCGTTGGGCCTGTACGCGGCAGTGCCAGACGGAAGACTCGAGTTGGCAGAGGCAAAAAGTTCCCTAGATCAGGCCAAGAAGTGCCCAAGAAAATGATGTCGACGCTAAGCCAGCGTGAGCTAAACATGCAGATGCGGCTGCTCTCGCCTGGCGAGCAAGGAATCATCGACCATGTGCTAGAGACGTTCGCAGCTCAGGTTGACGGGAAATCAATGCGTACACGAGACTTTTTCAACCTGGTGAGTGCCGAACAAAGTTGTTGGCGTACTTTGAAGCGAGACGTATTATTTACCTGTAATGAAAAGGGTGGCGGAGTGTTGGTGGCCGTCTTTGCACGTCTGTTTGTTCCATCTATTCTGGTGCCAGTCTACACGCCTTTCGGTGTACATTTCTGACGAATAAGCGGGGTCAGCCGTCTTTTGGTTCCCAGCATGTTTACATGCGAAGTGCATGACAATTAGTTGCCAAAGCGCACATGCACGTCAATTGAGTCTACTGGTCGGGGCTAATCCAATGAGCGAGAAGGTAGAGTATAGCACTGTTTTTTGTGAGCCTAGTAGAAAACCATAAATCATAATGCCGGAATACGGATTAATATTGTAGGTAGGGCGGAGCGCTGCAGTGTTCGGAATACTGCCATCTTGGCTTGATCTGTTTGTCGTTGTCGAACGGCGCTCTGCTGTCCTCCGCAGATGGATAGCAACCGCGACAACGTTTTGACCCGGTCGGAGCTGAAAGAGGCACTGGTGAACCGCCAGCTAGTCCTCCGAGATGACCAGCTGACACATCTAATGGCCTTCCTCGACGTTCATGGTCACGGCTATGTTACTCTTGGCGACCTACATGATGGCCTCAGGAATTTCCGCGCGGCGCGCCATCGTACAAAGATTCACGGGCAGTCGACCAGGTTGCCCCGACCCCAGCCGCGCCCGCCACTTGATTCAACAGCAGTCACTCGATTGCAGTCGGCGTTGCTGGCTCCCCTCACGCTCTTCTCGGCACAAGCGCCAGTCGAGGGGCAAGGGAAGCATCAGCGATATAAGAAAAACGCAAGCGAGAAGCGAATTCTTGAGCAGGAGGCCGGAATAAACTTTCTAGACATCACGGATCCAGAGATTAGTTCTCTCGCAGACTTTTTGATGGATGCGGAGAAGGCGGGAGGTCGTCCTCAAGGAGGGCTGCCGTCAAATCCGGCGGATCATATACCGACGACCGATGCACAGCAGTCAAAGGCTCTGCGCCCGCTACCACTTATCATGGCCGCACTAGAATCCGCCGCTTCGCGAGCACCCGGCTGCATCAATCGGGACGGGCAGCAGACGGGGGGTATTCGCGGCCCTGGGGCAGCAGCCGTCCCATGCTCGGCCGCAAGAGTCTTGTGGATCTTGAGGGGCCTTCAGAGGGTATGGCGGCAAAAAGACCGTCGTCGCAAGGCAAAAACGCTCATCCAGGAATCGGCCGACGAGTTCACCGACGAGAAGCTGAGCGTCGCCGTGAGCTTGTTTGACGTCGATGGCCAGGGGCACATAGACCTCCAAGACGTGATGACCGTCTTTCGGAATGCGCGGGTCGACAAGTTTGTCCGGGGGCGACTACCAGCCGCAGCAATCCCATCACTTGTTGCGATTGGGCGTCACCTCGAAAGTCGCAAAATAACGGCTCACGATTTCGTTCAGGACGCAGCCACGTCGACCATCGTACATTCCTCGGAGCCAACTCCCAAGCGAAAACGCGACGCGAAACGAGACCAGACCCAGACAGCTACGACGGCGCAGCTTGGAGCGCTGCTGTTCTCGGAGCTGCAGCTGGATGCGAAGCAGAGAAACCTCGTTCTGGAGTGCATCGAAGAGGATGGGCTCGTCTCTGGCGCCAACGTAGCTGGAGCTGTGCGCCGGGCCAGAGGAGAGCTTGCTCATCGGAAGCTTGAGAGGCTGGAACAACAGCAGGGTGTGGTTGATGGTGGTCGATGTTGGAGTAGTGAAACGGGCAGCCAAGTATCGGAAATTTCTGGGAGCACATGTAGCATCATCTCTCCGCCTAGGTTCCGTCCGCAGGCTGGAGCAGCACCCACAGCGGAGGAAGGAATGTTGGCGCCGCTTCAACACAAGCACCAACGAGACGGTTTCAACCAAAGCGACGCGTCCTTGATCCTCGGACTCTTCGTCAAGGAAGGCGGGGGGCTGAGAAATCTTACCGGCAAGAGCGCGGCGAGCCTGTGGCGCGGTCTCAAACGACGAGGACGTGGCGTGCACGCCTGTGAAGACGGCCGCTCGGCAGCTAGGCGCCTCCGACAGCTCCTTGAGTCCCGGGACATGAAACCACACCGATGGTTTGCGACCCTTGGCCCTACGGCTGAAAGTTCTGCCCCAAGCGATGAACGTAGCTCCATGGAGCGTCGTGTTGAGATGTCGTCCATCATTCAAGGTGTGCAAGCATTGGGCGGGACGACCCGAACGGGCCCACCCGGGGAGGCGAACACAGTCCATACGGCATCCGACGACGAACGTGCCACCGACTCACTGGAAGGGACTCTCAGCAGCAACGACGGCAGCTACAGCAGCACCGCGCAGACTGCCGGAAAGAACTACAAGGCTCAGAGGTGGACCAAGGCGCAGTTGTCCGCCTTGGCCCGTCACCTAGACCCCTGCGGAGAAGGCAGCATAACGCAGGAAGTCTTTCAGGAGGGGTTGTGCGTCTGCCGCGGAGATCGAGGAGCTTATCCTGACGCCGCTCACCTCGCGGCAGCGCGCCGCCTCGAGGACGCGTTGCGGGATGATGGCTGCAGAGACGTTTGTGGAATGTTCCACTCATTGGCAGGCGAAGGGCGGGGTGGAGGGGACCTCGTTGAGTACATTAGACAGATGGGCGACTATGCGAAAAGATCAGCACGCGAGCTCGAGGCCGCAGCGAGGCAAGAACGGATGGGGAGGGCTCTTTTGGAGCGCGAAACGGGGAGTCCAAACTCGAAGGCATGAACCACAGTTGCTATTTCCTGCTTCTGCAATATTTCTCTCTCTCCATCGCTCTCTCTGCATGTATATCTACATATATACTTATATATATCCCTGATCTCTGCACACAGACAGTCACATGTCGCATTGTTGCTCAGTGAGCACCTCTCTATATATCTTTTCCAGGAGATTTCAGTGGCTCCGGATGACATATATCCCATGATGTTTGTCGAACGCGGCGCATTTTCTACCGTGTGCGCGCATGGAACAGGAGGCCCAGCGCATCAGCACGCACAAATCTGCGCTTTGTGAGAGAGTTTCGCGGCCGGAAAACGCTTGTGCTCTCAGGACTGTTCAGAAGCTAGACGAGCTGATGAGCTTGCAAGGAAGACGTCTCGTCGTTGAGTTTCATCAAGCGGACACCAACCGTTCGGGAGGGGTGAGACGAAAAATTTGGAGTCGCTAGCGATACAGGTCGTAGGATGTGGGTAGCTTGCGACAGATTAGTGCCAGAAGACGAGAGAAAGGAAGACGGTGAACCGTTGAACAGCCTGACAATTGTAACGATGCGAGGAAAAGTCCTGTCGGTTTGTCCTTAAACTCACGTCGGCATGCGATGAACCCTCCCATGTTGTGGATCCTACTGCGTAAACCTTCGCCAGAGATGATCCCACAAAGAAAAGAGAGATTCTCTATTCGACGTTGGTCAGTCCGCGACACTGTCTGCTGTTGCTACCTCTGCGATATTCCCATGGAAATCAAGGTGGATCCCACGGAGCTCAAGAAGGTGATGAAGAACCTGCTTCAGCCTTGTTCATTGCTGCGCTTCGAGCGCAAACGGCGGCGGGAACGGCAAGAGGCGGCGGCGGCGACGTCTCAAAATGCGGAGCGTTGGAAGGGGGATTTCATGGAAAAAATGGAGGCGCTGGACAAGTCCAAGGCTTCCAACTTTCTCGATGTCATTTCCACGGCACTCCGCAACAGAAGATGGCAAATCAGAGACGTTTTTAGAGACGTCGACAAAGGAAAATCAGGGGCTTTGGGTGAGCCCTTTCATGTTGCATCGTGCCAAGAAGAGAGCCGCGGTCAGCGTTAGCAACCAGTCGTTGATATTCAACCTCGTTTATACCGGTAGGGGCGCAAAACGAACATGCTGCAAAGCTAGAAACTCCAGGTCCCGCTTCGGTCAGACTCAAGTACTGGCCTTGTTTTTGCTCTCGCCAGTTCTCGCTGTACAATCTCCAACGTTGCGCAAGCCTTCCATGATTTTCTCCGCAAAGAAGAAGAACAAACCTCGACTTCTTTCTCACGATCGCGAGGACTTCAATCGATCTTGCAACACCCTTAGCGCTCGGCGCCCCCGCTGCGTTCGAGGCAGCCCTTACTGCGTCGCGTCGCGCCGAGTCGAGAGCTAACTTGTCACTGCTGTGATGTTCTTCCGCGACCACCCTTGTTTGGCCGACTGCTGCCGCGACGCAAACTCTGTGGCAGGCGTGAACGACCTTCTGGAGAACACGCACCTTGCCCTCGGCCTGAAGCTGGACAGAGGCGAGGCGGCGGCGCTGGTCTCGATGTTGGACACCAACGGCGACAAGTCCATCCATTGCGAGGAGCTCGAAGTACGTATGTATCGATGACGCGTGTGTCTCTAGTCGGCTGCGGGTGTCCACCCGCCCCTCTCTTGAACATTCTTGCCCTATTGTATGGCATCTTCCGTGAGGGGGGCAATGGATGTGGTGCTTTAACACCAAGAATTAGTCAGGGGAGTGGCATGCTTTGCCGCAATAGAGGGCACGTTGCGCTGACGGGGGCCGGAGCGGTAGCGGTCGTGGGAGGTGGCAATGGATTGTTTCTTGGTTCAAACACGCAATTGCACCAGGAACATTCTCTCATGCTTCTGGGCCCGGGTCCGCCCTCAGCCAACACGCTCACATGTTGTACTGACCCAAATTTCCTGGGTCTTCAATCACTACGGTAGGCACTTTACGGTAGCAAATACATGATCTACACACCTAGACAAGGTAGCATCCACGGGCAGAGGGCGCAACAAATCGCAAGGAATAAGAGGGATGCAAAGAACGAGGGTCCTTGGCACCGTCGAAAGCAGCGGCAACGTCTCCTTGGCTGACCACCCTCTTGATCCCTTCCCGTCTTGCTCGACGCGCCCTTCGCCGCCTCTTCGGCCAACAATACAACAACAGCTCGCCCTCCGCCTGTACCGAAGGTACGGGTGGGAGAGGCACCGGTGGTCGAGACGGAAACCCTTCCACGAAGAATTCCCGTCTCTTTCGTGCCTGTTCCGACGGACCCCCCGGGCAGAGGGGGGCGGGGCGGGCCTGCAACAGCAACAACGAAATCCGGCCCTTCCCCGTGACACCAAGGTCAACCGCGGGGATATCGTCACCGCGCTCGTGCGTCTCCGTGGGAGTTCGAGCGGGGGCGCGGTGGGCGGGAACCGCGGCAGGGGGCAGCTCCTGCCGGCGCACGGCCCGAACGTCCAGCGGCGGCGAGTGCTGCTGAGGGCCGTCCGGAAGGTCGCGCACTGCTGCCAGACAGCCGGCGTGAGGACCGCCCCGGCGCTGCTGGCGACTCTGGCCTACTTCGACTTCGGCCCCGTTGACGAAGCCAGGCGTAAGGCGGGCCGCATGCGCGCGGTCGACCTGTGGCACTGGCTTCGACTGCTGAGCGCGCCAGCAGAGGATTCGGGGGGCAGCGTCGTGGGGGGGAGCTGCAACAACAACGCTAACCGCACCAAAGGCGTTCATGGGCAGCGACGAAAGAAAGATGTTTTATGTGGTCGAAACAAGAGCATCTATGGGTTTGGGGGCGGCGGCGGCGGTGGCCGCGGCGGCGCCCACAAGACCGTCGACGAGATGGTGAGTGGGCGCTTGCTCGACGCCGAGGAGACAGCGCTACTGCTAGACGCCTTGGAACTCCGAACCCGTGTCCAAGAAGCCCGAGACGCGCCCGCTACAGGAGCAACGGAGGACGGCCCTATCGTGTCCGTTCCCGCGTTCTGGGACCTCCTTGTGGAACATGTCCCGGGTTTGTGGGACAGGGAACTGCAAGAAAGGCTGGAGGCCGAAGAGGTGTGACACACAGCGTTAATCGTGTAGTTTTGAAAGACCACCCATTCCCTGTGCATGCACACCTACTAATTTACGGGAATGGAGAAGTTCGATGGCCTGGGTGACGGGGACAGGGTGTAGCGTTTAGCAACGCGTATGCTCGACAGTGGTACAAGTCCTGGGAAAAGCCCCCTTCTACCAAGATATGTAGAAGAACCTTAAGAGCCTTGTTCGTTCTGGTTCTTCCGAAGTACCTGCGGAGAGTGGTTTCCTATTTCCACGTGAGGCGTTTGCCTGAAAGACCCACCTGGTCAACTCTTCTAACGACCGAACATAATGTTTCGGAAGAGGGACCCATCGCCACCTCCACATCCGCCCCACCCAATGTTGACCGCACCCCGAGCATGGAACGACTCACAGCATCGAGGGTCGTCTCATTTTCGTCAACTACAGGTCGAAAGGCAAGCGCAAGCACTGAGAAGCCGCCAGTCTGCAGCGGCGCTCACTATCCAGGGAGCGGCGAGGCAGAGACAGGCAAGCCACATACCTTTCTGTGCGATGCACCGTAGAATGCTTACACCTGAGGAAAGCCCGGGGTTGGAGACCTGGAGACGTACGCGGGGGCGTCAGATGTGGAGCGGGCGAGAGGGGCAGGACGTAATATTTATCCTGTGCGGATAGTTGAACCATGTAGGCCACGATTTTCGAAATGCCGTGCCGCAAGCGCATAGTGCAACGTGTGGGAGAGGTGTTTCGGTTCTCATGGCGAGGGACACGTGGCATCAGCATGACACCCCGACGTCACACGCAAGATGCCCACAACCGTTCACCGGTTGTTGATCCAATATTTCTTGCTGGGATGATAACTTCGACAAAACACAACGGCTCTTCCGAACGTAGGCACCATACGAATAATCGTAATCGCTTTGCCTTGTACGCGAGATGTTCCCTCTATATCCGCAAGGATCACGTTTCTGTTTTCGGATTTGACTAGAGGTTCTCTCCTCGACTTGCGGTGGGGGCATTGGGCTCTCCATGCTCCGAAACGCCATGTCAATCCCGCCCAACAGGCACGAAGAGTGGTGAGAGACGAGCGAGCCGCTGCGGAAGAAAAGGCCAAAGCGGCGACTACCGTACAGAAGGCGGTGCGGCGACGACAGGCGAGCGAATGCGCGTGGCCACACAACACCCATTTTGTTTGCCACTGGGGGCGTCTCTCCCTACCCCGTTTCAAGTACATATCAATATAGACATGCTCGACTCGGCTTTGCGCTCGACATTCTCCTTCTTCCCTATCGCCTGTTGTTCAATATTCGAGCCCTTTTCACTCTCCCCTCCATGGCCACACCCCAGCTTCACCAAAAGCAGGTGCGCCTGGATCGCATCAAGTCGAACAAGGCCGCAACGCGCATTCAGGCGATGGAGAGAGGCCGCATCGCCAGGCACCACGCTGCCGCCGAGGGGGCAGCGAGGAGGGCCGCCGCGGCAAAAGCACAGGCGGAAGCGCAAGCTAAGGCGGAGCTAGAGGAGTCCGCCCGACGCCTCGCGGCCGCCACGGAGGAACGGAACGCCGCCCGGGCCGCCGTCAAGATACAGTGCGCTACCCGCCAACGGCACGCGCGCGAAGAAGTGTCACGACGGCGCCGCCGACAGCAGGAGGAGGCGGCCAGACTAGCAGCAGCCGTCAAGATCCAAAGCGTCGCGAGAGGGCGACAAGCGAGGACGGCGGCGGAGGAAGAGCTCAGCCGACGGCGAGAGGAGGCCGCCAGACTAGCAGCGGCGGTCAAGATCCAGAGCGTCGCGAGAGGGCGGCTGGCGAGGACGGCGGCGGAGGAAGAGCTCAACCAACGGCAAGAGGAGGCGGCCAGACTAGCGGCAGCGATCAAGATCCAGAGCGTCGCGAGAGGGCGACTGACGAGGGAGGCAGCCAAGGAAGCGTTTCGCCGGCAGCAAAAGGAAGAGGCCAGGCTTGTAGCGGTGGTTAAGATTCAGAGCGTCGTGAGAGGGTGGTTGGCGAGAAAATCGGCAAAAGAGGCGGCCGAAATCGCGGCATTGGACGCAGCCATCGCGGCTCGGCAGGCGAAGATGACAGAGGAGGCGCAACCAGGTGCGGGGGCGGCCGATCAAGGACGGGGGGGGTGGAGGAAGAAAAGCGTGGTGGGCGCACGTGGTGTGCAGGGCTTGGCGGGCCTCCAGGTTCAGGTCCCACCAAATGACAACGCCGCCTAAATTGTGGCGTGAAGGGTTCGATTTTTTGGGCGTTTCCGTGCAATTGATAGGTGGATGTTCGTTTTCGTATGTCCGTGCAGTGACGACGAGGGACCACGAAAAAAACACATTTGTCTAGACTAGTCTATGGAATACGACGTTGGGGTTGATATGTCGATTAGGTTTTGCATGGAAGGTTGCCATTTCGGAATCGTCTGGTTTCATTTTGTTTTTTCTCTACATAGACTCCAGGCAGAATGCTCCGTGAGAAGACTGGTCCCCCTTGTGGCTCGCTTCTCAACCTCCCGGCCTTCTGGCTTTTGGACGTGAAATCGAATCTCGGCGCGGCGACACGCACCGGGCGGAGCCAACGACTTGGGGTTGTTTTCTCACCTCCACTGCCCACACAAAGGTTGGGTTGCGAAAGTTTCCTGTCTACACATGTAGGAACGGCTGAACCATTCTCACTATGTAGAGGTTTATGGCAACGTCGGAGAAAGGCTGGGGCAAATAATTTGTCCTGTGCGCCTTGTGACCCTGGCTGGTGCGCCCAGAATCGACTCTCTCTGGAAAGCAAGGCGCTAACAGTCCTGAGTAGACACCCCGGAGTACCAATTGTGTGCCATGTACAGCACATGCATAGGGGAAATTCCATCTGTGCACGCGCGACACCCAACCCTCATTTCTTCCCGGCGGGTTCCCGGATTGATTGGGCGACGGGTAAATCTTGATTGTTGGTAGTTTTGAATCTTGGTCCTGTCGGAGCTCCTTCGCAACGCTACATGTACTGTATTTTCTGTCTCTTCAAAGCGGGGCAACCCCTCCCGAGTGGGGAGCTTCAGCGTCAACCGAACCAAAAGGACCTACAACCTGGCCGGGGGGGAGAGAAATACGGTATCTATGTAACCCGTTCGCAAAATCCTTGCGTGTAGGACTGTCGGACGTCGGACCGGTGGGGGCTTTTATTGGTACCTGCCTACAAACGGGCAATTTACACACGGGGCCCCTATATCGACGCTCGCGCCCTGTGTGTGTGTCGCTATGCTCTACATGTTGCTCCGTCTACACTCGCGCTTCTTCTGTCTTGCGACATCTGGGACAGCACACAACAGGAGGGAAGTTGCCACTGTTGAGACGATACGGGTGGTTGTGCTTGGCTGCACCGGGAGGAATCAGCAGGAAAGAAAGACAAGAAACAAGCACTGGAAAGTTTCACAATTTGCTGCTGCTGTAGCGCAGCCGCGCCGCTTTGATATCATAGGACAGAGAGGGGATGGGTTCTCCGACAAATCGCACTACCAGCAGTCGGAACAACGGGCGACATAACCCCGACGCCTCTGCTCTCGCGCGCGGGAACTCGTCCTCACCCTCCATGAGCGGCACCGGGGCCTCCGGACCGTCTTCCGACTCTCGGAACCTGGCGGGAGGGCCGCTGGCTTCTTCCTCGTACATCAGGTCGTCCGCAGTCGGCGGCACCGGCGGCGGCGGCGGCAACACAGCAGCAGCAGCAGCAGCAGCAGCAGCAGGAGCATCATCGCCGGAGGCGGGCTCGGCGACGGCGGAGGGTCACCTGGCCGGCTTCTCCCCGATCGGCGTGCCGCCGCAGATGGTGCCGACGATATCAGGTGTGGTGTTTACTGTCCGAGTCTGGGTATTGTATTGATTTTCAAACGGTTGATGTAATGACGCAAATCTACTATTAATAAATAAATACAAGCCTTAGACCTACCTGGTGTATGTACCGTGTGATGGTGTGCATAGGTACTTAGGCTGCACAGGCAGGACGTGATCTATCTGCTGTGCGTGTGGCCACCTCTTCGAGGCGCAGTGGGATCGACACCCATTTTTCAGCTGCACCCATGAAAACGTGGGATTCTCTCTGGAATGGCTCCAGGTATGCATACGCATGTTCCTGATGCGACTGCAAACGGGTTGCTCCTCCTCCCTCTGTGTGTGTGTCCCTCTCTTCTCTTGGACAAAATCGATGAGTGCAAACAAGCAACAGAACCTGGCCAACCAACAACCCTCCCTGACAGCTTTTCTTGGCCTCTGGCCGTTCTCCCCCCAACCCCCCCCCACGCAATGCAAACCAAAATACGAACGAAATCACGCAGTAGAGGTGCACAGCACGGAGCACTCCGCTCACGAGGCTCCCCTCCCCCCGGACACCCGGGCTCCGACTCTGACGAGCGTGATCGCCAAACACGCGGGGGAGCGCGAGGCGACCGACTTCTTGGCGTCGGCGAAGGCGGTCATGCCCCCCGGCGGCAAGGTGCCGGAAGTGTTCACTCACAGGTGTGTGAGTCGGAGGGGACTACTGCTGTACAGCAGCAGTACTGCGGTTGCTGTCGCTCTTGGGCTTTCAGCAAGTTTGCTTTTTTTGTTGCTCAATTCACGAAAGCCGAAGTACATTGTACAAGTAGCAAGTCTTTGTTTTGTCTCCCGTTTTGTGGACCGCAACCGCCGTGGCCCACGGCAGGCACAAACCCTCACACAAGCCCGAGGGTCGTCTCGCATATCCACTGCAATCGTGCACAGAACTCGGGCACCGCGTAGTACGCAATTTGTGTTTGTTTTGGGCAACCCTCTCGGCAAACTCCCTTCGCGACGAAATCAACAGAGAATTGCATGGTACTGCTGTAAGGTTGTTTTCCAAGACTTCGGGGCATGCTTTGCATGCGTTGGGTGGAGGCGACCCTCGTCGTTTTATTCGCAACTACTTGCCTCGGCCTCAAATGCAAGTACCCATTCCGTTAGGCACACGCCGCGCCTTCGTTTGATTCGAAACGTACTACAAGAACTGTTGTACAGCAGCGGAAGAGTACCGTTGGTTTTGTGAGATAGCACACCCCCTCAACCGATTTGCAAAGCTCCATTACTCTGCAGCGATAGAACGGCGACGGGTGCCGAAAATGGCGGCGTTGGAAACATCTTCCCGCCCGAGAAGAAAAAAAAACAATACAATGCTATGCTGTAGATGCTGTTAGGTGACAGATCAATCGACCCCATACGGGCCACATCCTCCGCCCTGGATAGAGGCCGCCAACTGGCCTCTTCCTGGACCCTGGCGCTCCTGTCGCCGCGAGCACCCGAACCCATCCGCCCCCCGTGCCTGCTGCTCTTCTTGTTCATTATCCTCAGCCCGGAGGTCGTAGGCGAGAAGGAGGTGCAGACGGGCATCGAAGCTCTGGACGTCGCCGAGCAGGTGTTAACCGTATACCCGGGCCTTGCCATCTCTTGCGGAGTGGTAAACGGCACTGGTGGTTTGTGTGGCGATGCTCTTGTTGCTTGACAGTTCCATTGCCGCCTGGCATGTACCTGTTGTTCACGTTCACTTTGGGCGATGATTACAGGAAACCGGTGGTTCAGATGGGATAGGGCAGGGTGAGATGGGTAGCGTTTGGATGAGTCCCTCGTCTGTACTTGTCGAACCTACTTCAGTTTTGGGTAGCCTGGCTAAGGTGCTTGTCCTGGCTGCTGCTGCTCTATGGAGGCATGCCTACACTCGCCCACATTACTTTTAACCCAATCCACGCTTCGTGCCCCCATACCCCACTCGTATCAATGCCACTAACTACTGTGGCGTGGCGTGGGCATGGTGTTGGCTGCTACCACAAGCAGCGAGCACTAGCAGCTGTGGGGCAGTGCCACCCCTCTCTGACACTCTCCGTCCTTCATCCAGCATGTACCTCTGCCCGTGCGCTCCCCCCCCCCCCCCCCCCCCTCCTCCCGCCTCTCCTGGGTGGATGTTCACCGCCGCGTATGCATACAACGTTTACAGGAAATTTTGGCTAGTATTCAGGAGCTTCAGCGGCAGCTGTGGGAGCACAAGAACAAGGAGGACCAGAGAGATGAAAACGTGAGTTGAAGCTCTCGCTGCTGCTGCGTACCACGTACCACCCCACTCGCCAACAACAACCGGCGGAGACCAAACGAGTCTGACTTGTGTGTTTTTTTAACTTTTTTCAACTGCTACAATGAGTAGGTCGCGACTGCCACGCCCCACCAGCCACGTCACGCGCCGTAACGACACACACTCTCTTTCCGTCGTCCACATCCTGCGCCCCCAACCCCCCTCCCCCCCTGTCGGTAGAACCCTTCGATTCGCAAGGGTGTTGGTGTTTTCCCGCTGTAAGAATGGCGTTTTTTCACTGGTCCGCGGTCGATGCTAACAACAGCAACATCCCACTATTGTAATGGTGTATTTCATTGGTCAGCTGGTGAGCGCGGTCGATGCTAGCATCAGAACGACAAACAACATACACACACACATGGCCTTTAGAAGCTTTGAGACGCGCAAACCGGCTGACCAATGAAAAGACGCCAGTCTCAATATTGAGACTGGCGTCTTTTCATTCGGTTTGCGCGGTCGATGCTCATAATATAACACACACACACACACACACACACAAGCAGGGGACGAAGCAGGGGCGCGAGGTCGGAGCTGGACTACGAGGAGAGCGGCGCGGAGCAGAGCCGAGAGAAGAGCAGGGTGGTCGTGGTCTCCAACCGGCTCCCGATCAGCGCGCAGCGCAACCTGGAGACCGGAAAGTGGACGTTCAAGATGTCGAGCGGGGGGCTTGTGACGGCCCTCCAGGGCGTGCGGCACGAGATGGACTTCATGTGGATCGGTTGGATGGGCGTGGAGGTGGAGGAGGCGGAAAGGGTGAGGGAGTGGGGGACGGGTGTGTAGAGCGAACGGGAGACCGAGAGGAGGGGGAAGGCAGGCAGGCAGGCAGGCAGTAGACAGGCAAACAGCGCAAGGTGGTGGTAAATACATGACGAAGCCGGACACGTATTCATACTATTATAGTCAAACAGACAGACAAGACACAAGAGGGAGACGAGGGGGGGGGGGGGGGGGCACAAAGGGGACACGTGTTTTTTCTTGAACGGTGTTCGCACAGCAGTCGGAGTCAAATTCTCTTCGTGTTGATATTGTGTTGAGGCCAGGAGCCAAGATGGCGCACCTCACACTTTGGTCCGACATATGCATATGACAACGGTCATCACCCCGTCACTTCTTGACCGTGAATGTTAGTCTTCCCGTCCTTTCGTTGTGAGCCCTTGATGTCCTGGCGCGTTGGTTGTTCGTCGTCGTGTTGCAAGAAATATTGTCTAGTCAATCTTGTCGGACAAAAGGAGGCATCTTGTGTCAGCGTGTAGTTCACCAAGCGCGCGTTGTTCTCCTGCCCTTCCGCCCTCCCCGCGATTCGAGATGCCGGTCTGCCGCTGTTTTACGCCGCATCCCCCCCCCCCCCCCCAC